CAGCTGGACATACACCTGTGAAAGAATAAACCTCAGCTCCTGCCCACTTCACACCATACACAGAAGACAATTTGAGGCCGGCTCAGTGACTCACCCCTGTAATCCCAGCACTATGGGAGGCCGAGGTGGGCAGATGACCTGAGGTCCGGAGTTCCAGACCAGCGTAACCAACATGGTAAAACCCCATCTCTACTAAAAATACAAAACTTAGCTGGGAATGGCGGCATGCGCCTGTTATCCCAGCTACTCAGGAAGCTGAGGCAGGGGAATTGCTTGAACCCAGGAGGCGGAGGTTACAGTTGCACTCCAGCCTGGGCAACAGAGGGAGACTCTGTTTCAAAAAAAAAAAAAAAAAAAAAAAAGAGAGAGAGAATGGCAGATGAAGGCGAGTTAGGGAAGCTTGCTTGTGTAGATGGTGTTAGGCCATTCTTGCTTCCCTCCAGAGAGATACCCGAGGCTGGGTAATTTATAAAGAAGAGGTTTCACTGGATCACGGGTCTGCAGGCTGTACAGGCATGGTACCAGCATCTGCTCAGCTTTTGGGGAGGCCTCAGGCAGCTTTTGATCACGGGGGATGGCAAAGTGGTAGCAGGCACTTCTGATGGTGACATAAGCAGCAAGAGAGAGAGGGTGAGGTGTCACATGCTTTACACAAGCAGATAGCATGAGAATCGACTTATCACCAAGTGCCGAGCCATCCATGAGCCATCAGTCCCTGTGATCCAATCACCTACTGCCCTACCCCACCTCCAACCCTGGGAATCACACTTTGGCGTGAGATTTGGAGAGGACAAACATCCAAACCATATCACAGATTCTTCTGCTATCAGCTTCAGGCCAATAAGACTCCAGCTGTTGTCAGTGATTAACTTTTGTTCCTGGCAGAGAGGCGAGGTGGGATATACTTTGTCATCATAAAAAGGAAAAAAAAAAAAAATCACAGGATCAGATCAATTGATGCAGAAAAAGCATTTGACAAAATTCAATATCCATTCACAATAAGAACTCTCGGAGAAATAGAAATAATGGGAGCTTTCCTCGGCTTGATAGAGAACATCTTCAAAAAACATGCAACTAGTGCAAAAGACTAGATGCTTTCTCCCTAAGACCAGAAATGAAGCAAGGATGTCCACTCCCATGACTGTTATTCAACTTAGTGCTGGAAGATTTGGTCAGTGCCGTAAGGCAAGACAAGGAAATACAGGCATATAGGATTGGGAAGCAAGGAATCAAACTGTCCCTATTTACAGAAGACATAATTGTCTTTGAAAAAAATACCAAAGCTTTAATAACCACTCCTAGAACTAAAGAAAGGAGTTCAGTAAGGTTGTAGAATACAAGATAACCATGCAAAAACATTTGAATTTCTATATATTAACAATGAACCTATAGACACCAAAATAAAAACCACAAAACCATTTACACTTGCTCAACATAAAACACGTACAGGATTTGTATGCTGAAACTATGAGACATTGTTTTTAAAAAAAATCAATGAAGGTCTCATAAAACAGAGAGGCATACAATGTTCATAGATCAGAAAATTAAGCATCATAAAGACATCAAGTTTTCCCAAACTGATATATAGATTTAATGTAATTCCTATCAGAATCTTAGCAAGATTTTTTCTTTTTTTCTTTTTTTTTTGAGACGGAGTTTCGCTCTTGTTACCCAGGCTGGAGTGCAATGGTGCGATCTCGGCTCACTGCAACCTCTGCCTCCTGGGTTCAGACAATTCTCCTGCTTCAGCCTCCTGAGTAGCTGGGATTACAGGCACGCGCCACCATGCCCAGCTAAGCAAGATTTTTTAATAGTTAGAAACAAAATTATTCTAAAATTTATATGGATAAATCAAAGAAACAAGAATAGCTAAAACAATTTTTAAAAAGAATGCGCCAGGTGCAGTGGCTCACCTCTGTTATCCCAGCACTTTGGGAGGTCAAGATGGGTGGATCACCTGAGGTCAGAAGTTCAAGACCAGCCTTACCAATATGGTGAAACTGCGTCTCTACTAAAAACACAAAAATTAGCCAGGTGTGGTGGTGTACCTGTAGTCCCAGCTACTCTGGAGGCTGAGACAGGAAAATAGCTTGAACTGGGGAGGTGGAGGTTGTAGTGAGCCAAGATCACACCACAACTCCAGCCTGGGTGACAGAGAGAGAGACTCAAAAAAAAAAAAAAAAAAAAAAAAAAAAAAAAAAAAAAGAAAAAAAAAAAAGAAAAAAAAGAAAAAGAAAAGAAAAAAGAATGAAGTGGGCTGGGCTTGGTGGCTCACACCTGTAATCCCAGCACTTTGGGAGGCCAAGGTAGGTGAATCACGAGGTCAGGAGTTTGAGACCAGCCTGGCCAACATGGTGAAACCCCATCTCTACTAAAAATATAAAAGTTAGCCGGGCGCGGTGGCTCAAGCCTGTAATCCCAGCACTTTGGGAGGCCGAGGCGGGTGGATCACGAGGTCGAGAGATCGAGACCATCCTGATCAACATGGTGAAACCCCGTCTCTACTAAAAATACAAAAAAAAACTAGCTGGGCGTGGTGGCGCGTGCCTGTAATCCCAGCTACTTAGGAGGCTGAGACAGGAGAATTGCCTGAGCCCAGGAGGCAGAGGTTGCGGTGAGCCGAGATCGCGCCATTGCACTCCACCCTGGGTAACAAGAGCGAAACTCCGTCTCAAAAAAAAAAAAAAAAAAAAAAAGTTAGCCAGGTGTGGTGGCGGGCACCTGTAATCCCAGCTACTCAGGAAGCTGAGGCAGGAGAATTGCTTTAAAACTGGAAGGCAGGCCGGGCGCAGTGGCTCAAGCCTGTAATCCCAGCACTTTGGGAGGCCGAGGCGGGTGGATCACAAGGTCGAGAGATCGAGACCATCCTGGTCAACATGGTGAAACCCCGTCTCTACTAAAAATACAAAAAATCAGCTGGGCATGGTGGCACGTGCCTATAATCCCAGCTACTCAGGAGGCTGAGACAGGAGAATTGCCTGAGCCCAGGAGGCAGAGGTTGCGGTGCACCGAGATCGCGCCATTGCACTCCAGCCTGGGTAACAAGAGTGAAACTCCGTCTCAAAAACAACAACAACAACAAAAAAAAAAAAAAAAAAAGAAAAAAAAGAAAACTGGAAGGCAGAGGTTGCAGTGAGCCAAGATTGTGCCACTGCACTCCAGCCTGAGCAAAAGGGTGAGACTCTGTCTCAAAAAAAAGAAGAAAAAAAAAGAAAGAAAGAGAAAGAAAAAGAAAAAGAAAAAGAATGAAGTGAGGAATCAGTTTACGAAGTTTCAAGATTGATTGTATAGCTACAGTAATCAAGACTGTGATGTTGGTAAACAGATAGGCACGTAGATCAATGGAACAAAGCAGAGAACCCAGAAATAAACCCAGACAAATATGTTTTTCATTAATTAATTTGTACTGTAAATTCACATAACATGAAATTTACCATTTTCACCATTTGAAAGTTTAAAATTCTGTGGCAATGATTGCATCATGATATTGTACAACAGTCACCACTGCCTTCGTTCCAGAATTTTTCCATCCACTCTAAGTGGAAGCCGTGTACTCATGAAACAGCCACTCCTCATTTCCTCCTCTCCACAACCCCTGGAAACCACCCATCTGTTTTCTGTCTCCACAGATCTGCCTATTCTGTAAATGTCTTACGAATGAAATTGTACGATGTGGCTGTTTCGTGTCTGACTCACGTGGCATCATGTTTTTGAGGCTCATCCACATTGCAGCATGCATCAGTACTTCGTTTGTATTTACGGCTGAATGATATTCCTTCCTGTGCTCACACCACATTCTGTTCATCCATTCTTGTGTGGATGGACATTTGGCCGTTGTAAATGCTGCTGCTATGCACACCTGCATCCAAGCTTCTGCTTGAATACCTGCTTTCATTTCTTTCTTGGTGTATCCCCAGAAGTGAAATTGCTAGATCATATAGTCATTCTATATTTAGTTTGTTGAGGAACTGCAAAAGTGTTTTCTGCAGTGGCTGTACCACTTTTGGTTTCCATCAGCAACTTGTGAGGGTTCCAATTTTTCTACATTCTTACCAAAGAAACAAGAATAAAACTGATTTTCTGTTCTTTGATAATAGCCATCATATAGGGGTAAAGTGCTATCTCACTTGAATTATTTTTTTTTTTGAGACAGAATTTTTGCTCTGCTTCTTTTGAGACAGAGTCTCCCTCTGTCGCCCAGGCTGGAGTGCAGTGGCACAATCTTGGCTCACTGCAACCTCCGCCTCCCGGATTCAAGCGGTTCTCCCGCTGCAGCCTCCCAAATAGCTGGGATTACAGGCGTATGCCACCATGCCCAGCTAATTTTGTATTTTTTTTTTTTTTTTTTTTTTTTTTTGAGACGGAGTTTCGCTCTTGTTACCCAGGCTGGAGTGCAATGGCGCGATCTCGGCTCACCGCAACCGTCCGCCTCCTGGGTTCAGGCAATTCTCCTGCCTCAGCCTCCTGAGTAGCTGGGATTACAGGCACGTGCCACCATGCCCAGCTGATTTTTTGTATTTTTAGTAGAGACGGGGTTTCACCATGTTGACCAGGTTGGTCTCGATCTCTCGACCTTGTGATCCACCCGCCTCGGCCTCCCAAAGTGCTGGGATTACAGGCTTGAGCCACCGCGCCCAGCCGTATTTTTTTTAATATATTCTTTTTTTTTTTTTTTTTTTTTTTTTTTTTGAGACAGAGTCTTGCTCTGTCACCAGGCTGGAGTGCAGTGGCGCAGTCTCGGCTCACTGCAACCTCCGCCCCCTGGATTCAAGCGATTCTTCCACCTCAGCCTCCTGAGTAGATGGGACCATAAATGCGTGCCACCATGCCTGGCTACTTTTTGTATTTTTGGTAGAGACAGAGTTTCACCATGTTGGTCAGGATGGTCTCGATCTCTTGACCTCGTGATCTGCCCACCTTGGCCTCCCAAAGTGCTGGGATTACAGGTGTGAGCCACCGCACCCGGCCCCCCACCCTTTTTTTTAAGGGACAGGGATTTGATCCTTTTGTAGCTCATGAGCATGATGAGTGGGTGTTCACATGCTTGTGTGAGACGTGCTACCCTTGAGCCTTGTTATGACGTCGGCACATTACCCGTCTGACCTGAGAAAAAAAAAAAAAGAGGGTTTCACCTTGTTGGCCAGGCTGGCCTCAAACTCCTGACCTCATGATCCATCTGCCTTGGCTTCCCAAAGTCTTGGGATTACAGGGGTCAGCCACTGCGACCTGCTGAATTTTTGCTCTTGTTGCCCAGTCTGAAGTGCAATGGTGCCATCTTGGCTCAGGCAACCTCCACCTCATGGGTTCAAGGGATTCTCCTGCCTCAGCCTCCCGAGTAGCTGGGATTACAGGCACCTGCCACCATGAGAGATAGGGTTTCCCCATGGTTAGTCAGGCCTATCTTGAACTCCCAATCTCAGGCTATCTGCCCGCCTTGGCATTCCAAAGGGCTGGGATAATCGCAGTGGCAAAAGCCACCATGCCTGGCTTATTTATTTATTTATTTATTTATTTATTTATTTATTTATTTATTTTGAGATGGAGTTTTATTCTTGTTGCCCAGGCTGGAGCACAATGGCAAAATCTTGGCTCACCGCAACCTCCACTCCTGGGTTCAAGTGATTCTCCCACCTCAGCCTCGAGTAGCTGGGATTACAGGCATGCGCCACCGCGCCTGGTTAATTTTGTATTTTTAGTTGAGACTGGGTTCCTCCATGTTGGTCAGGCTGGTCTCGAACTCCCAACCTCAGGTGATCTGCCTGCTTCAGCCTCCCAAAGTGCTGGATTAAGGCCTGAGCCACCGTGCCCGGCCTCACTTGGTTTTAGTTTGCACTTCCCTAGTGACTGAAACTGCTGGGCATCTTTTCATGTGCTTGGTGGCCATGTGCCTGCCATCTTTGGAGACGTGTCTATTTTAGACCTTCACCCGGGTTTTAATTGGATTGTCTTAAGAGTCCTTTGTATGTCCTGGATATTAGACCCTTATCAGTTATGTGATGTTTCAAATATTCACTTTCATCCATTTTCACTCTCCTGACAGTGTCCTTATTGTATAAACATTTTATTTTATTTTTTTGAGACGGAATTTTAGTCTTGTGGGCCAGACTGGAGTGCAGTGGCAAGATCTCGGCTTGCTGCAACCTCTGCCTCCCAGGTCCCAGTGATTCTCCTGCCTCAGCCTCCTGAGTAGTTGGGATTACAGGCACGAGCCACCACACCTGGCTAATTTTGTGTTTTTAGTAGAGACAAGTTTTCACCATGTTGGCCAGGTTCTTCTCGAACTCCTGACCTCAGACGATCCACCTGCCTCAGCCTCCCAAAGTGCTGGGATTACAGGTGTGCCCGGCCATCAGACTCCTTTTATATGGGCAGTAATCTGTTCATGAGGGTAGAGTCCTTGCGACTGAATGACCTCCCAAAGATCCCACCACCTACTGCTATGATCCTGGGGGTGGGGAAATAACATACGAATGTTGGGGGGAGACCACCGTTCTCCCCATAGCAGGTGGGCTTCGGGGGGCAGAGGGCAGGGCTCCGTTCTCCCAGGGCCTGTCCACCAAGAGGGCCCCCGCCCACCAGCTGGGCCGTTTGGCGATTTTGCCAGGCAGACGGTTAATTCTGCAAAAAGGAAGAGAATCTCTGTCACCACCATCCCCGAGTTCACTGAGAAGAGCGATGCTGTCTGACACATACCCACCGTGGACTACAGTGGAGAGGCTAGACCAGGGAAACTGAGGCACAGCCAGTGGGGCAGGTTTGAGGCAAGAGGAGTGGGAGGGGAGAGAACAGGGACCCCACCCTCACGCCCTAGGCTGAGCAGGGGTGCTTTGGGGCTCACCGGGGCTCACCGGTGCTCAGGGCTGCCTCCCAGACCTGGACACCCATGTGGAATGGCCATCCCACCCTCAACAAGCAGAGGCAATTTCCTCTCCACAGTGGGTAAACTGAGGCCTAGTAAGGAAGCTGGTGGCCAGGAGGGTTCTAGGGTCCTCACAAAGTGTCCTGCAGAGACCTACACCTCCCCTGATGCCAGACCACCTGGCCAGGCTGTGGGACCAGGGCCTAGGGCCCTGGCCAGGGCTCCACGTCACCCAAGGCCATCCTGACTGCAGCTTCTGGCCTCTGGGAGCCTGGCACTTCCGGGGAGCCACAGGGGAAGGAGCCTCCATCTGCAGCAGGGGAGAAGGCACAGAATTCAGGCTTGTTTAAGGGGCCAAGGCTGAGCCCCCTCCAGCCCCTGCCCTGCTCTGCCATTGGGACCTGGCTTCTCCTGAATTCTGCATGCATCACACCGGGAGTGCCCGCTGTCTTTGCAGGCTGGGAACACCTGATGTGACCTGGGCACCCGAGGGGCACCCAGCACAGCAGGAGCCTGGACCTGGAGAGCTTCTGCCCTCTGCACATCAAGGCCTGAGTCATGGTTCTGCGCCTTAGCAGCTGCCTGACTCTGGCCAAGCTCTTCCCTACAGTGGGCCTCAGTTTCCACATCTGTGGATGGCACCAATCGCGATGAAGACCTAAGGAGATCATTCTGCTGATGGAGTGAGCGGAATCTCAAAGCTCTCAGGGCCCAGCCTGGGCAGGCCAGGCCTGCAGGCGTCCTAGGGCACAGCACGGGTGTGGGAGGAAGGACTGCCGAGCCCTTCTCCTCCATCTACGGGGTTCGGGGATGGAGCCCAATACTGTCCCAGAGCTCTGCTGCCCAGGCGCCTCTTGGGGAAACTGAGGCTCTGCCCCACAAAGGCATCAGCCCCACTGAAGACAGGGCCAAGTCCCTGGCCCCTCACTCCCCTCCGGGGGTCTGTGTCACCAGGGCCTCCTCCAGAGAGCCTTGGCGCTCCGGGTCGCCCTGGGGCAAGGGGCTGGGATGGAAAGCCCCACAGCATGGTGGAAAGTCCAGAATTCTACAGGGGCCTCTTTGTCAACCTCCATGCAAGAAGCTGGGTGACGCCTGCCCACAGGGGTCAGGCCCCAGCCCAGTGACACAGCTGTACCCGCAAAGATTTCAAGTCTTTTAAAAAAAGTAAAGTGCGGCCGGGCGTGGTGGCTCACGCCTGTAATCCAAGCACTTTGGAGGCCAAGGAGGGCGGATCACCCAAGGTCAGGAGTTCAAGACCAGCCTGACCAACATGGTGAAACCCCGTCTTTAAAAAAATAAATAAATAAGTGAAGTGCAGGCTTGGATGTTGCTTTTCAGTTTTTAATTCCCCTTGACCTACCTCTGGGCTAAGGCTTCCACTGACCCACTTAACCACCTGGGGCGAGAAGAGTCACCGCATTGCAGGAAGTGACTTCAGGGCAGGACGGCCTCACAGGAGAGAGGGGAGCCGGTCATCCCAAAGCTGTGTGAGCCGTTCCCTGGCACCCCGGGACCTTTCTGCATGGACAGTGGAGCCCATGGGCCTGAGGGTTGCCATGGAACTTGATGTTAGTGAGCCCTCCCCTGGTGAGACCCCGGACCACAGAGGAGCAAGGAAAACGGGGTGTTTCCCGTGCAGAGCGGGACTTCTGTGCAATTTCGGCCTGTGCTTATTCTAAATATTTTTGCCATAAACACAGAACTCCAGGGGAGAGGGCAAGAAACCCAGTGAGCCGAGGCCTGGCCCAGCTAGGGACAGGCTGTGCCTCTCAGAGCGGGCACCTGCAGGGTGGCCCACGAGGGTCTTCCCTGGCAGGGTCTGCAGAAGGCACAGTGCAGGGAGTGAGAGAGCACAGTCCACACACCGAGACACGGGCAGCAAGAGGGCCCTGCTCCCAGCTCAGAGCTCCTTGGCCACACCACACCTCAGCCAGCTTGTTCCGACCCTGATTCCGCACTGCCTGACACTCCACAGCCACCCTTGGCTGCTGAGATGGACCCCCTCCCCCATGGCTCCCCACGACAACCCCAGCAGTTGACCCCAGGCTGACCACCTCGGCCACCTCCTCTGGCCCCACCTTCCTCCCCAGGTTTGTCATCAAGCACCCCTGGAGTCTTGTCTGGAGGGATCTGAGCACGTGCAGAACATTCAGGGAGACGCTGGGGCTGGGGGCAGAAGGGGAAATCGAGACTGGGCCCTGGTCCAGAGGAGAGGTGCCCGCCGCTCCCATCCCGGACTCCGGCTGCCCGAGGACCAACCGCACACCTGCCCATGTGGGAATCTTGGTGGCATCTCTCACTGTGTCAGTGACCCCAGATGCAGGCTTCCTGGCACCTGTGTCAATTCTCACCCCTGACCCATGCTGGGCAGGGCACTTCCTTCTCAGGCTCAGGGGGAGCACTGTGCCCAGAGTCCTTCATGGTTCTCCGCAGCCTGCACACAGGGCCTGCCTCGCGGGCTGACCGCACAGACAAGGGGTCCGTATTATCAAGGCCTCTCGCTGAGGCCAGCCCCCTTGAGGGGGATTCAGCATCCCTGCAGGCCCCAGGCCCCTGCACCTGCTCCTGCTTTGCTGGGGGCACTGTCCCCACCCACGTCCACCTGGGACCCTCGTCTCCTGTCCACTGCGGCTCCTCTCTGGGGCGTCTTCCCAGACGCCCCGGAAGCTCCTGTCCAAGCCGCAGTGTCCCCCAGCCTCTGTCACCGGTCCTAGGAAGACCCCTTGGGAGCTCACACTCAGCGCCGCGCTCAGGGTCTCCGCCATGGGGCCAGCTGCCTTCCCTCTAAACACCTGGAGGAAGGAAGTAGGGGGTCAATGGGAACCTCCAACCCCAGGCGAATATACCCCTTTGGAAGATGAGGGAACCGAAGCTCAGAGGAGGAAAGGACTTGCCTGGTGTCACGCGGCCAGCCTAGGGTGGTGAAGTCAGGAGCCTCCCCGGCATCGCCCAGGGCTGCTTAGGGCGGGACACCAGCCCTACAGTCTCCTCCATCAGACTGGGACCCTGCATCTGGCTCCTCCCACAGCCCCAGGCAGGCCCCCAGTGGGGCTCTCAGCTTATGTGGAGGTACCCCAGGGATGCCACCCCGATCCAGCCTCCATGGAGGCTCCTGCAGGCCACTTGGAGGGGCCAGTGCACCCCGGCAGCCCCTGTCGGGCCCCTGAGCACGGAGCCTCCCCACCAAGGGCACCTGTTCCACCTTTGCCCCATTCCAGCAGGGCCCTCAGGGAGGCAGGACAGGGCCACATTCCGGAAGCCAGAGGCCTTTGAGCCCCGCCCAGAGCAAGTCTCAGTCCCCAGCCCCCAAGGCAGCTGCCCCGGTGGGTGAGTCAGGCTGGGCGAGGGAGAGCAGCGCCTCCATCACTCGGAAGCGTCCCCGCCGCAGGGAGGCCGAGGCTCTGGCCCTGATTGGGCATCAGGCGGAGTTGCCTTTGCGCTTTGCGTGGTCGCGGGGGTATAACAGGGGTGCGCGGGGCTGGCAGGCGGGGGACACCGGTGCACAGCCGGCGCGGACGCCCCACGGGCCCCCCGGGACCCCAGGCGAGGAGAGGGACTGCCAGCATCCCAGGACCCCCGCCCAGCCCCGAGCAGACCCCATGGCGGACGCGGTGCTGCGCCGGCTCCTGAGGCTGCACCGCACGGAGATCGCGGTGGCGGTGGACAGCGCCTTCCCCCTGCTGCACGCGCTGGCCGACCACGACGTGGTCCCCGAGGACAAGTTCCAGGTGGGCTCCCGCCCTCCCCTGCCCCCAGGTCCTGCGAGTCAGGGGCAGTCCTGAGGGAAGTTCCAGGAGGACCCCGCCCCGAGCCTCCCAGTCCCTCCCGTCCCCCCAGACCCGGCAGGGTGGCTCAGGCCTGTAATCCCAGCACTTTGGGAGGCCGAAGGGAGCGGATCACCTGAGGTTTGGAGTTCGAGACCAGCCTGACCAACATGTAAAAAACCTCATCTCTACTAAAAACACAAAATTAGCTGCGCATGGTGGCAGGCGCCTATAATCCCGGCTACTTGGAAAGCTGACGAAGGAGAATCACTTAAACCCAGGAGGTGGAGGTTGCGGTGAGCAGAGATCACGCCATTGCACTCCAGCCTGGGCAGCAAGAGTGAAACTCCATCTCAAAAAAAAAAAAAAAAAAAATGCAGAGTGCATGGCTCACACCTGTAATCCCAGCACTCTGAGAGGCCGAGGTGGGCGGATCACCTGAAGTTGGGAGTTTGAGACCAGGCTGACCAACATGGAGAAACCCCATCTCTTCTGAAAATACAAAAAAACTTAGCTGGGCATGGTGGCACATGCCTATAATCTTAGTTGCTCGGGAGACTGAGGCAGGAGAATTGCTTACCCAGGAGGCGGAGGTTGCAGCCAGCCAATATCACACCACTGCACTCCAGCCTGGGCAACAAGAGCAAAACTGTCTCAAAAAAAAGTTGGCTCCCTTCCCACAGCCATCCCCGCACCTCACCCCCAAGCCAAAGGAATGGCCTCCAGGACAAGTTTCTCCTCAACACCCTGTGCAACCACCTGATCCCACCACAAGCCGAGGAGCTGGGTGTGGAGGTGCCCAGGTCTCCAGTGCCTCTGCATAGGAGTGCCCACCTCTAGTCATGGTGGAGGCAGGCAGGCCACAGGGTGTGGGTGAGCATGGCAGGGACCCTCATGCCACCCACTGCAGGAGACGCTTCGTCTGAAGGAGAAGGAGGGCTGCCCCCAGGCCTTCCACGCCCTCCTGTCCTGGCTGCTGACGCAGGACTCCGCAGCCATCCTGGACTTCTGGAGGGTTCTGTTTAAGGACTACAACCTGGAGCGCTATGGCCGGCTGCAGCCCATCCTCGACAGCTTCCCCAGAGGTGGGTGCTGGGGGGCCTGGGGCAGCGGCTGTCACTTGTTCAGCCCAGCTGGACTGCAGCCGGAGTGGTGTTTGGGGAGCCCGTGGGTGGTGCCCCAGGATGGGCTTGGATCCCAGGAGGCGAAGGGCCTAGGCCTCACCCACGTGGCCAGGGTGGCCAGTTCTGGGGCCCAGCCTCCCCTGCAGAAAAGTCTGAGGCTGGGACCCTGCTTCTGCCCCTGAGCTGCAGATGTGGACCTCAGCCGGCCCCGGAAGGGGGGGAAGCCCCCTGCCGTCCCCAAGGCTTTGGTGCCGCCACCCAGGCTCCCCGCCAAGAGGAAGGCCTCAGAAGAGGCTCGAGCTGCTGCGCCAGCAGCGCTGACTCCAAGGGCCACCTCCAGCCCAGGTACCCAGCAAGGGAAGCCAGCCGGGGGCTCCAGTCTTCCCCAGGAGCCTGTGCCCCCTCCCCACCTGGGCTCCCACTCACTGGGGTGGAGCCAGCCTGCCGGGGGCTGTGGAGGTCCCCTCTGGGTACTAGACCCACACACTGGACCAGCCTCTCAGCCCCTTCCTGCCCGAAGGCTCCCCGGGGCTGGCAAAGTAGGCACGTGGGTTTTATTTGCTTTCTACTGAGGGGAAACCAGAGCCCCGCAAAGGGAAGGACCCACGGGAGGCCAGGATACCCAGGGCTGGACCCCACTCCACACCCTCCCACCTCGGGCCCCTGCCCACCAGCACTTACCCCCACCGAGAGGGAGGCCAGGCTGCCCCCAGCTTCCCCATCCAGGCTCTCAGCTGAAGGCCAAGCCCCCCAGAAAGCCGGAGAGCAGCGCAGAGCAGCAGCGCCTTCCGCTCGGGAACGGTGAGCAGGGCCCGGGGGGAGTGCCTCCCTTCTCCCTGGCCAGGGACAAGGGGTATGGGGTCAGAGCAGGGCCTGCCCTCTGAGGGCCTGTCCTGGGGACTGGGAACAACGTGCTGGCCTGGCAGTGCAAGGGCCAGCCCAAGGGCCTGAGAGGCACCGCCAGACCCAGGAAGGGGACATCCTGGCTCCAAGCATGATCTTGCCAGTCACCTCCGCCCCCCTGCACCCCGGTTCTGGGACCCCCTTCTCAGGCACCCCACCTCTGCCCGTCCATTCCCTATCCTTCAGGATGAGTCCAGATACTTCTTCCTCCAGAACATCATCCCTGGCCCCCAGCTGCAGGCAGACTGGACCCTTCCCATTTCCTCTCATTCCTTCCCGGGGCACTGGACCCCAGAGATGCCCTCTGCCCACCGCTGTCCTCCCTGAGGGCAGAGACTAGGAACTCTGTGTCCCTCCCAGCACAACGCAGGGCCCATGTCATGGGGGGCCTGGTCATTAGTCATTCCTTCCTATCCATGCATCAGCTCCACTGACAGTGCCACCCCCAGCACACACACGAGTGCACACACAAACACACACATTCACGTGTCTCTGCACTTACCTGTGGGCTGTCTGCACATGGCAGGACTGGGTCCCCTCCTCTGCCCGTCCTGGCTGGAAGGAGAGGCCTCTGCAGCCAGGTACCGTCTGCTCCTGCTATGGAGGATGTGCTTGGGAACAGTCTTCCTCACGGGTGACCCCAATGGGTGGTCCCTTTCCCAGGGATTCAGACCATGTCAGCTTCAGTCCAGAGAGCTGTGACCGTGTCCTCCGGGGACGTCCCGGGAGCCCGAGGGGCCATGGAGGGGATCCTCATCCAGCAAGTGTTTGAGTCAGGTAGGCGCTGTGGTGGGGAGTGCGGCTGACGGGGAGACCCAGGCCCCAAGATGGAAGGAGGACCCCGCCCTTTGCACCCTTGTGGTCCTACAGCAGACAGAGCTGTGGCTCAGGTAGCCAGAGTTTCTGCCTATGGTTCTTCTGACTTTGGAGGAGAAGGGTGGGCACTGACGTCTCCCTGTTGGGGGGGTCTTCTGTGAGGCCGGTGGTCCAGGCATGCATCCCAGCTCAGGGTGCACAGCACTCCCCATCACCTCCAACCACCCGCAAGGGCCCTCCTGGGCCATGGGGTTGCATCCTTAGAAAGTTCTGCTGGTGCTGATGAGGACCTCCAGAGAGTCTGCACTCCAACCAGGACAGCCTGCCGCGCCCTCGCCCCCATACCCTGGCCAGCCTGCCGCGCCCTCGCCCCCATACCCTGGCCAGCCGCCGACCCCATGCAATCATCAGCACCATCTGACCAGGGCATAGCAGGGCTGCTGGCGGCAGGCCCACCGTGCCATTGGGGCATTTGATCTACAGTCCCTGCACGGTGTTTCTTTGGTGATGGACACGGGCTGGGGACACCGAGGGCAGCCGGGGCTCTGGTGTTGCACATCTCGGAGGGCCCCAGGGCCCCTGTGTTACTTGCTAAGGCTGTTGGACCAAATTGGCACAAGCTGGAGGCTTAAAACAACAGAATGCCAAGGTCCGGGCATCCCGGCCGCGCTCCTCTGGGTGCTCGAGGGAAGTCTTTCCTTGTCCCTCCCAGCTGCTGGCTGTTATGGGGGTGCCTGTGCCCTTGCTCCCGGGCTCAGGACCCTACCACTCCAAGGTCTGCCTCTGCGGTCACACAGCTGTCTCCCGTGTGTCCCATTTTTGTAAGGACACCAGTGATTGAACTTATGGTCCAGCGCGACCTCATATTAAGTAACCACATCTAGGAAGACCCCAGTTCCAAGTAAGGTCACACTCTGAGGTTCTGGGTGGACGTGAACTTTGGGGGACACTATTGAACCCCCTTGTGTAGACAGCCCCAGGACAATCTTCGGGCCTGAGTCGCCGGCAGGTGGGGGTGGGCTGGAGGAATGCAGGCTGGGGAGCGCCACGTGTCCCTGAGAGGCCCCAAGCCAGGGCCTGCACCCGGCACGTCCTGCTGGGCGGGCGAGGCAGGACCATTCGGTGTCTCCTCCCAGGAAGCTCCAAGAAGTGCATCCAGGTCGGGGGGGAGTTTTACCCCCCCAGCAAGTTCGAAGATCCCGGTGGGAAGAGCAAGGCCCGCAGCAGCGGTGGCCTGAAGCCTCTGGTTCGAGCCAAGGGAGCCCAGGGCGCTGCCCCCGTAAGCAACGCCTGCCCCTGGGGAGCCTGGCTCCTGATATACCCCCGCCGAGGAACAGCGTGTCCTCCGGGGGGCAATAGCTCTGCTGGGGGCTGGGGGCTGCTGCCAAGATGCCGGGCGCCACAGCCACGTGCACCCTTGCTGCCCAGGCCGCCCCCATTGCTGACGCTCTGTTCCTTGCAGGGTGGAGGTGAGCCTAGGCTGGGCCAGCAGGGCAGGGTTCCCGCCCCTCCGGCCCTCCCCAGTGACCCCCAGCCCCACCAGGTAATGCCCTAGAGCACAGGAGGACCTGTCTGCCCGGCTCCCCTCGGGCAGGTCCTGCTGCCTCCGCCTTGCCCCAGGGCACTCAGGCACGAGCACCAGGGCCCGAGCCCCTCCCCACAGGGTAGAGCTCTTTTTCCATAATAGACAGTGTTTTTCCTCATAATATACAATTATAATATTATTTTAAATAAGTCAGAGAAAATGAGGTCCTCTCAGGTGTTTGGCCCAGGCTGTACCCCGACAATCTCCGATGGGCACAGTGAGGTCACTGCTGCGTAGGACCAGCCTAGCCTGGGTGTCTGGGGGGCCCCTGAAGGCAGAGCAGGCACCATCGAGGCAGGGCGCCAGGAGGGTGGGGCGGAGGGCGGAGGGTTCAGCAGGCGCTGAGGTCAGGAGGGGCTCCCTGGGCCTGGCCCCACTGCCCCGTGAGGAAGGGCGTGTGTATAGCTCCCAGGAACACAGCAGCCCTCGAGAAACCGGGTTTTCTTCCCAATAAGGATGGCAGGTGTATGTCAGAGACGAGATGGACAGGAAGCAGGGGGTCAGGGTGGAATTTCAGGCCCCAGCAGCATTGGGGCAGGGCAGAGCCTGGGGAGCTCAGGCCCCCAGAGACTCTGCGGGGAGCTGTTTCCGGGAGGTGGCTGTCAGGAGGGGGCTGCACCCCAGCCCCCTCTTCCCCGTCCCAGAAGAACGAGGACGAGTGTGCCGTGTGCCGGGACGGCGGGGAGCTCCTCTGCTGTGACGGCTGCCCTCGAGCCTTCCACCTGGCCTGCCTGTCCCCGCCGCTACGGGACATCCCCAGGTGAGCCAGCACCTCTGCCAGTGCAAACAGGCGTCCCGCTTCACGGCCACCTCCGCCCGCTGACGCCGAAGGGAAGCCACCCAGAAGCTCTCCCATCCATGAGTAGCCTGCCCCCACCCCAGAGTCCCACCCCAGACAGGGCTGGGGAGCACAGAGGCCACAGAGCTGCACCCCCAAAGGCAAGTGGGACTTTACTAATGTCCAGGACCCCGGGCTTAGCGGGGCTGGGAGGCCTTCTCTGTGTTCACACCCCGGCGCCCCCTCCCCACAGCACAGTGGGCCCTGTCCCCACCCCAACCCCACAGGACGTGGCAGCCTGTGGGAGGAAGAGCTCTGTGTGGAGTGGGGACCCCACGTTTCAGCGAGGCTCTGCCCCAGGCCCCCTCTCAGCCTCACACAGCATCACTAGAATAAGGGGCGCAGCAGGGGGCATCCTTCGGCTCCTTCTTTGTTTTTTTTTTGAGACGGAGTTTCGCTCTTGTTACCCAGGCTGGAGTGCAATGGCGCAATCTCGGCTCACTGCAACCTCCGCCTCCTGGGTTCAGGCAAATCTCCTGCCTCAGCCTCCTGAGTAGCTGGGATTACAGGCACGCGCCACCATGCCCAGCTAGTGTTTTGTATTTTTAGTAGAGACGGGGTTTCACCATGTTGACCAGGATGGTCTCGATCTCTCGACCTCGTGATCCACCCGCCTCGGCCTCCCAAAGTGCTGGGATTACAGGCTTGAGCCACCGCGCCCGGCCCCTTCGGCTCCTTCTGAAGCCCTCTCCTTTCTGTCTCTCCCTGCCCTTGTTCTGCCGGGCGCCATTCCCCTGAAGGAAACAGGGGTGGGTCCCGGGACATCCACAGTCAGCTTGGGGAGGCCCCTAGCAGGGCCCTGAGAGGCAGGTATGGCCACTGCACTGGAGATTCTGGGGTTCATCAGAGAAGCACGCCAAGGGGCCCCTGATCACGCTGGCCAGGGCAACCCCACATGGGCAAATGTCCCCTGCTGGGCTCTCCCTGCCCGAGTCTCTGCCCAGCTCCCCGCTGTGCCTTGGTTTCCCCTCTGTACAAGGACTGTGGAGCCCTAGGGCCCCGTCCTTGGGTTTGGGGATCTGTCACTCCCTGACTTGTTCTGTATCTCTGACTGGTGGACACACGAGCAGTGGGACCTGGAGGTGCTCCAGCTGCCTGCAGGCGACAGTCCCTGTGATGCGGCCGCGGGCAGAGGAGCCCCGGCCCCAGGAGCCACCCGTGGAGACCCCGGTACGGCCACGCCCACTCCATGCCCGGCCACCCCTCTTGTCCGCCTGCCCCCTGGAGTCCTATGGGACAGGCCGGCCCCAGCCATAGCACTGTCTCCCCGCAAGGCCCAAGCCTGGTCCTGGTGGTCTCCCGCGGCGGAGCCCCCATCACGGTTCCTGCCGGCCTGAACCCAGCTTCCACCTGTGGGGCCCGCCCGGGGGAGGCACGGTGAGCACTGAGAAGGCCCCAGAGCTGTGCTCCTCTGGCTGCTGCTGCGAAGACAGCGGCCCCGTGCACGCCCCGTGCAGACCCAGCGTCCCCTCCCCCAGCCCTGAGGAGGGAGGACCCCAGGGCCGGGAAGAGCCACAGGCATTTCCCACCCAGCGTGGATGCCTTCCGCCACGCGGGCCTCCGCCCGTACCCTGCCACCCGGGTTTCAGGGTCCCAGCAGTCACCAGCTGCAGGGTGGTGCCCCTCTGAATGCTGCCCCTCGGGTTCCAGCTCCCCCTGGGGCTGAGGTCGGCGGGAGAAGAGGTGAGGGGCCCACCCGGGGAGCCCCCAGCCGGCATGGACATGGCTCTCATCCACAAGCACCTGCCAGCCCTGCCTCCTGCAGCCCCCCTGCCAGGGCTCGACCCCTCGGCCCTGCACCCTCTACTGTGTGGGAGCCCTGAGGGGCAGCAGGTGAGCCGGGAGTGGGGGTCAGGGTGGGAGCCCAGGACACACAGGGCTGAAGTCACCTGAAACGGAAGAAGACGGAGGCACAGGGCCTGGGGCTGTGGGGGGAATGTGGGGGCTGGTGGGGGGAGTGTGGGGGGCTGTGAGGGGAGCGGGGGCAGCATGGGGGCTGTGGGGGACTGTGGGGGGCTGTAGGGGGCTGTGAGGGGAGCATGGGGGGCTGTGGGGGGAGCGGGGGGAGCGTGGGGGGAGCGTGGGGGGCTGTGGGGGGAGCGTGGGGTGCTGTGAGGGGAAGGGGAGGCTCCTGGACACATCCTCACATTGCTCCTGGACCCTCACTCCAGCTTCTGGCCCTGGGCATCACTGCTTCCCAAACAAGGCAGGACAATGAAGGGAGGATGACTCAGTGCCAGTGGGAGCCCAGCTCGCCCGGCCTCATCCCCCATCACGTCTCACGCCCTCACCACTGTGCCCATCCCCCCACCGCACCTCATCCCCTCCACCACTGCACCTCATCGCCCCCCACCTCGCCTGATCTCCCCCACTGAAGCCCTGTGGGCAACGCCCTTCGAGAGACCCCCGAACTCAGCCCCGAAGGAGACTGGCCCACCAAGCGGGAGAGAGGCTGGGCTCCTGGCTTGCCTGAGGGCGCTGGCGAGGCCCCCCCTCCTGGGACCGGATGGTCCCGCTGTCCCGCAGTCTCTGAGCAGCACCACAGGCTTCGCACCCACGCCCAGGCCCGCCGTCCATTCCTGAGGGGTCCCAGGGGAGAGCTGGGAGGCCACCGCCCTCCTCACCCCTCACTACTGCCTCCTGCAGCACCCGGCTCCCGGCGCGCGGTGCGGGGTGTGTGGAGATGGCACAGACGCGCTTCGGTGTGCCCACTGCGCCGCCGCCTTCCACTGGCGCTGCCACTTCCCGGCGGGCGCCCCCCAGGCAGGGTGAGTGCCGTTCACACGGACGCCCCAGCCCACACCCTACACCCCACCCCACCCCACACCCCCACCCTACACCCCACCCCACCCCACAACCCACCTGCACCCTACACCCCACTCCTCCCCCACCCCCACCCTACACCCCACCCCACCCCTCACCCACACCCAAGCCCTACACCGCACACCACCCCTCATCCACACCCACACTCTACGCCCACCCACCTTCACCCTACACCCTACCCCACACCACAGCTCTCCCCATATCCCAGAGGTCCTATCCCCCACTCACCAGCCACGCCCACACCCACTCCCATACCCCTGAGGGGGCACTCCTGCTCCCCACAAGCCTGGCAGCCCCTCCTCCTCTGCCTCAGGACAGGCCTTCGCTGCAGATCCTGCTCAGGAGACGTAACCCCGGCCCCTGTGGAGGGGGTGCTGGCCCCCAGCCCTGCCCACCTGGGCCCCGGGCCCGCCAAGGTCAGTGCCACAGGGACCCTCCACGTGTGCTGGTGGGGTGGGGTGGGGGCCCCTTGGGTTGCAAGTGGGGAGAGCACATCTCAGGGCAGACCCTGGGTGCCCGCTTCGAGGGTTTGTACCACACCCACTGACCAAGTGCTCATTTGTAGAAAATATTTTCCCTTCTTGGCCCGGCGAGGTGGCTCACGCCTGTAATCCCAGCACTTTGGGAGGCTGACACGAGCCGATCCTGAGGTCAGGAGTTCAAGACCAGCCTGGCCAACACGGTGAAACCCTGTCTCAACTAAAAATACAAAAATTAGCTGGGCGTGGTGGCTAAATTTACAGGCACCTGTAATCCCAGCGACTCGGGAGGCTGAAGCAGGAGAATCGCTTGAACCTGGGATGTGGAGGTTGCAGTGAGCTGAGATTGTGCCACTGCACTCCAGCCTGGGCAACAAGAGTAAAACTCCATCTCAAAACATATTTGTATATATTTTCCATCAAACGAACTCTTTTTTGCAGCTTAAATATAGTTAAAAAGGAAGCTCCTAGCCGAGGGTTGGTGATGGTGAGATCATGGTTGGCTTTGAGGGCCTCACGGCACGGGCCTGAGAGTCTGCCAGGGCACCCTGGGGGGTTAGGGGAGAGCAGGAGCACGTGGCCTGCAGGAGCAGACCCCCACCCTGTGTGGCCCCTCCAGGCTGTCTCACCCGAAGTCCTCCCTGGGGCCAGGACCCACCCCATTTTGTGGCCAGAGCTCTCCCAGAGAGGCAGAGTGACACCAGGTCCAGCCAGTAGCTCTTCCTGTCCTCCTATTCTGGTGTCAGAGAGGGCCCGGGTGGTGGAGAGACCCGTGACTGCTGGGGTGGCCGGGCTTGCCTTGGAGGTGGATGTGGGGGAGGCTCAAGTCCCTGCTCCACGAACCTCCAGGGGTGCTGGCCTCTTGCCTTGACTGTCCCTAGCAGAGGCCTCCTGAGCACGTCCCAGCTGCCGTGGAACCTTTAGGGATCCTGGGTGATTACACGTCCCACCCGCTCCATGTGGCTCCTGCTCCCTCCCAGCTGTGCCCCCACCCTGTATACACTGTGTGGGTGACAGCCCACCTGGCATGGTACTCCCCGGGAGGGTGTCAGGCCACCCCGGCATGGTATTCCCCAAGATGACAGCCCACCTGGCATGGTACTCCCCAGGAGGGTGACAGGCCACCCCGGCATGGTACTCCCCAGGAGGGTGACAGCCCACCCGGCATGGTACTCCCCAGGAGGGTGACAGCCCACCCGGCATGGTACTCCCCAGGAGGACGACATCCTGCCTGGCATGCAGGCTCTGGCCTGGCATGACACAAGCCTCAGACCAAGCTCTGCCCTTCGGGGCTCATGTGGAATACTGTCCCCTTCCTTCTGGAAGCCTCCCTCTGTGTGTCTGGGGGCGCAGCCAGGCCTAAAGCAGACGCCCCCTCCCCTGCCCAGGTAGTCTTCCTGCGGCTGCTCAAGCAGGGATCCTCATCATTGACCTCCTGGGCTCTCGGTCCCCGTCATTGACCCCCTGGGCTCTCGGTACCTGTCATTGACCTCCTGGGCTCTCGGTCCTCGTCATTGACCTCCTGGGCTCTCGGTCCCCGTCATTGACCCCCTGGGCTCTCGGTCCTCGTCACTGACCTCCTGGGCTCTGTCTCTGAACGGCAGGGCCTCTTTCTCTTCACCGTGGTGTGAAACGTGGCGCCAAGTTAGAGGAAACGTCCTGCTGGGCCCCTCCGCAGCCCGCGCCCTTCCCTGGGGAAGGTTGTGTGTAGCGCTGACCCCGTCTTGAGTAGGTCTCCCACCCCCTGACAGCATCCTTAGGACCAGGGAGCATCCGGGGACTTTCCCTCCAGACCCAGCAGCGCCCCCCGCAACCAGGCAGGGCTGCAGAGCCTTGCGCTCCCAGCGTTCACCGGAGTGGAGGGGCTGACATGTGGCTGTTTCGGGTTACAAATGGGTGATTCCACTAATATGGTCTCCTCTCTGCAGGGGATGCCCGCCTGGGGACCTCCCCCACTCTGACCGCTCACCCAGGGCATGGCTGGCCTTGGTGGTACTTGCTGGGGTGGGGCTGACATGGACCAGGCACTTTCCTCTCTGGGCCTCAGGCTTCCACCCCAGAGTGGGGGCTCCTTGCTGGTTCCCTGAGTCCCCTTGCTTTCCCCAGGAGGCCGCGCAGTATGGAGGCTGCCTGGGGGCCTTGGGCAGCTGGTTTCCCAGTGGGCAGGACCCTGGGCAGGCATCCCCAGCCCCCTCATGCCACCTGATGCCCCTGCCCCCAAAGGAGCTGGGTGTAAGAATTCCCATCTCAGTGGGGGAAGCACCCCCGAGGCCCTAGGCCCTGTGGCCTCTGTGGGGAGTCCCGCTTGTGTGCCCCGAGGGCTGTGGGAGTTGGGTTGACCTCTTCTCTTTCCTGGGTTCCAGGATGACACTGCCGGTCAGCAGCCCACTCTGCACAGCGGTGACCTGGAGTCCCTCCTGAGCGAGGTAACTGATGCCTCCTCTGGCCTCCTCGGCCCCTGCCGTTCCTCCACTCGCCTCTCCCACCTCAGCCGCCAACCAGGCTCTCCACTCTGGGCATGCTGAAGACTGCAGGCCCCCGCCGCTGCTGAGCCCCTGGCACCCCCTACAGGCGCCTCCCAGCCCCCCACAGGAGCCCCAGCACTGCTGAGCCCCCGGCACCCCCCACAGGAGCCCCCCAGCCCCCCCACAGGAGCCCCAGCGCTGCTGAGCCCCCGGCACTCCCCACAGGAGCCCCCCAGCCCCCCCACAGGAGCCCCAGCACTGCTGAGCCCCCGGCACCTCCCACAGGAGCCCCCCAGCCCCCCCACAGGAGCCCCAGCGCTGCTGAGCCCCTGGCACCCCCCACAGGAGCCCCCCAGCCCCCCCACAGGAGCCCCAGCACTGCTGAGCCCCTGGCACCCCCCACAGGAGCCCCCCAGCCCCCCCACAGGAGCCCCAGCACTGCTGAGCCCCCGGCACCCCCCACAGGAGCCCCCCAGCCCCCTCACAGGAGCCCCAGCGCTGCTGAGCCCCCGGCACCCCCCACAGGAGCCCCCCAGCCCCCTCACAGGAGCCCCAGCGCTGCTGAACCCCTGGCACCCCCCACAGATGCCCCCCAGTCCCATCCACAGGAGCCTCCCCGTCCCCTCCCCCCCACAGGAGCCCAGTACTGCTGAGCCCCCCGCAGCTCCTCGCTGAGCACCTGGACCCTGGCAGGCAGAGGCTGGAGCGCCAGGCCGGCTCAAGATCCACTCTCCCCGGGGAGGGTGCGGTGTGGAGCAGTGGGGAGGGCCCAGCCCAGACCCTGTCCCTCCATCCCTCCGAGAGCTGCTTGCTCCTCCCTCTCCGGCCTCTCTAAGCTGCGATGGGGAGGTCGAACCTGGGGAAATGTGACTGTAAAGGGCTCTGTTTTTGACAAGAGGAGAAGCGCCTCCAGCCTCCACGTGTTCCCCTCAGTGTCTGGCGCGGTGTCTGGGAGTCCTAGCTGACCATGGGGTGGGGGTCCTGCCCTGCACAGTGGCGTTCCCCACACACCCTGATGGTGCTGGTGTCGAGAGAGCCCTGGGGCCTGGGAGTGGGCGAGGGGACCTGGTGCTGGGTAAGGGTGCTGCCGCTCTGGACGGAGTCCCTGGATATACCTGGAGAGAGGAGGGGTGGGCTCACAGCCTCTCTGGGGCTTATTCTGCTGGCACCATGGGCCCTGTGGCCCCATCATGCGGGAGCATCAGGCTCCTGAGCAGAACGAGAAGCAGCTGGCCCTGACTCCTCACCCTGAAGGGGCCACCCAAGGAGGTGGAAGTGCCACAGGGTAGTGCCACGGGGTAGTGCCACAGGTGACGGGGTGCGGTGAAATCCACAGGATGGGTCCTCCCCAGACTGGCCTGTGCTGTGGAGCCTCTGGCCTGTTTCTCCACCTTTGAATTAAAGGGAAGGTTGGATGGTGACTTCTAATGAAAGCCACGATCCTGTGGCCGTGGCAGGGCCACACCTGGAGTTCTCACTGTTGCTCTGTTCCACAGCACGCTTTTGATGGCATCCTGCAGTGGGCCATCCAGAGCATGGCCCGCCCGCTGGCGGAGGCGGCCCCCTTCCCTTCCTGATGCTGGACCGCCAGGATAGCAGGTGGCCTGGAGCTGCCCTCCCTCCCACCGGGCAGCAGACGGCGCTGAGCTCCCCCTCACGCCACGCAGCTCTGATCAGAGGGCGCCGAGAAGGACACCTCCTCCCTTAGCCCTGGAAGCCGGCTGGCTGGGACCAACAAGCAGGGGCCGAACCACGTCTTGTCCTCGGCTGCAAACACAGCCCTGTGTTGAGGGGACAGTAGCCCTCACTCCTGGAAATTAAAACCTGTGGTTTTGAGTTGCTTGTTGGGGGGGCATTTGTTTGGAGTGTTCCTTCACCTGGTGCCTGAAGTGTTGGCCATGCTGGAAGGGAGCCTGCCTAAGGGGAGAGCAGTGCCTGTGGGTGGGAGTCACACCAACAAGCCCACAGGCTCTGTCCCCTGCCTCCCTCTGCCCCCCAGCAACACCCAAGCCCTGGCTGTGGCCCTAAGGTGCTGCGTGGTCCAGCCCCACCCCACCCCAGCCTCCACCCTGGCTGTGCTCTTGGCCTCCCTCTGTTCCCTAAGCAGCCAGGCTCGTTCCTACCTGCTGGCCTCCACACGGGTGTTCCCTCTGCCTGCAGGTTCCTTCCCCTGGGGCTCTGAGTCTAGCTTCTCATCATTGACATCTCAGCTCCAATGTCATTTCCTCATTCATTCATTGATTTAAGAAATCTTTTTTTGGCCGGGCGTGGTGGCTCAAGCCTGTAATCCCAGCACTTTGGGAGGCCGAGGCAGGTGGATCACAAGGTCAAGAGATCGAGACCATCCTGGTCAACATGGTGAAACCCCGTCTCTACTAAAAATACAAAAAAAAATTAGCTGGGCATGGCGGCGCGTGCCTGTAATCCCAGCTACTCAGGAGGCTGAGGCAGGAGAATTGCCTGAACCCAGGAGGCGGACGTTGCGGTGAGCCGAGATCGCGCCATTGCACTCCAGCCTGGGTAACAAGAGCGAAACTCCGTCTCAAAAAAAAGAAAAAGAAAAAAAAAAAAAGAAAAAAAAAAAAAAAAAAAAAAAAAGATATCTTTTTTTTTTTTTTTTTAAGAGACCGGGTTTTACCATGTTGGCCAGGATGGTCTTGATCTCCTGACCTGGTGATCCCCCCACCTCGGCTTCCCAAAGTGCTGGCATTACAAGTGTGGGCCACCATGCCCAGCCTAAGAAACCTTTATTACACAACTTCTGTACTCTGAGCATTTTCCTGGGACTTAGAGGATGCCTGAGGGACGTTCTGGCGGGAGAGGTGGATCGTGGAGAGGAGGGTGACCTCGGGTGGGTAACTGCTGCGAAGCAGGACACGGGCAGGGCAGGCTGTGCGTGTGCTGGGGTTGCAGGGACCCTGTGGAGGAAGAGAGGAGCCGGAGGTGTGCCAGCAAGTGCAGAGGCCGAGGGAGCCTGCATGGCAGGAGTGCAGGTGGATGCCAGGGATTGGGGCACAGCAGCCACGGTGGGGCAGGCACGGACAGTGCTGTGCCTTACCCTGCTCACGGCATCTGCCACGGCTCGCAGGCTCTGCACTGGCAGAGGGACCAAGGACTGTGAGTCCTCACCACCACCCCAGTCACTGCTCCTTCCTGGGCAGGGTCTCACACTGGCACCCGTTCGAGGAGAGACCTGCAGCCACTCCCTGACCCCAGGTCTCAGAATTCTCACCTGGGGAGGCTGCGCCAGGAGCCCTGTGGGTGGGGGAGTTATGACAGGTCTGCCATCTCCTTCCACCAACGCTGACTGACCAGCTGAGCTCGCCTTCGGGCTGTGGCCGAGAACTGGACAGGGCCCTCCCTTCCCAGCTGCAGTCCTTAGGGAGATGGAAGCCGGTGCAGAGGCTGCGAGCCGTGGCAGGTGCCGTGAACAGGGTAAGGCACAGAGCTCGCTCTGTCGCCCAGGCTGGAGTGTAGTGGTGCGATCTTGGCTCACGGCAACCTCTGCTTCCCAGGTTCCAGCGATTCTCTTGCCTCAGCCTCCTGAGTAGCTGCGACTACAGGCACACGCCACCACACCCAGCTAGTTTTTGTATTTTTAGTAGAGACAGGGTTTCACCATGTTGGCCAGGCTGGTCTCTACCTCCTGACCTCAGCTGATCACCCCCCTCGGCCTCCCAAAGTGCTGAGATTACAAGCATGAGCCACTGTGCCCGGCCTGTTTTTCTTTTATAGCAGCTATCTCAACGGGTATGAGGTGGTATGTCATTGTGGCTAAACCACATAGGTTTAAGAATTTATGTGCGCGAGCGCCCCCCCCCCCCCCCCCCCCCCCCGCAACCCGCCCCATGAAGCTGTAAGAAAAGGGAGAGAATAATAACCCAAGATGTCAGCATGTGGCTGCCTAGGGGTAGACGCGGGTGTCTTCTTAGCGCTTTTTAGCCCCCACACATGTGCTTATGCAGTCTTTTGGGGTGTTTCCTAACATTTCACAATTAAATAAGGATCAGTGGGTATTGGCAGCCACCATTGCCCGAAAATAGCATATGTAGAGAAAAACGCACAAACCCTAGTGATCAGCCTGCTGAGCTTTCCCAAAGCAGCCGGTTCTCGTCCCAACACCCCAGGGGTGCCCGAGGGCAGGGCCGACTGCGTGGCCCACGGGGAAGGCGGCTCTCCCGTCCACCTGCTCTGCACCCCCAGGGCCCAGGGCCCAGGGCCCGAGACTTTCCCAGGGGCCCAGCAAATGTGAGGGAGGAAGGGAAGGAGGGAGGAATGCGGGCTGCTTCCCGCCAGCGTCCCGTTTGGGCTCGGCCTCCGCCGAGGGCAGAGGGCGGTGGCTGCGGCCAAGGGCGAAGAACCTCCGGAGAGGCGAAGCCGGGCCAGCGCCGCCCCGGTCCCCGGCGCACCTCGACGCCGCGCGGTGGGGGCTGCCCAGGACTCGCTACTCGGGGCCCGCGTTCCATGGCCCAGCTTCGGGAACGCAGAACGGAAAGGCGCCGCGTTCGGCCCAGACCCGGGATCCCCGCGCGCTCCGTCCAGGGAGGTCCTGCGAGGGGGCGCCGCGGCGCGGCCGGGGCGGGTTCGGGGCGGTCCGGGGGCGGGTCCGGGGCGGGGCGGGGACGGCGACGCGGCGCCGGCGGCGGGAGCGCGAGCTGAGTCGGGTCTCGGCCGCCGCCATGGCCGCGGTGGACCTGGAGAAGCTGCGGGCGTCGGGCGCGGGAAAGGCCATCGGCGTCCTGACCAGCGGCGGCGACGCGCAAGGTGGGCGGGGGTCCCGGCGCGTCGCGGGGCAGCGGGTGGGAGGCGCCCGGCCCGGCCCCTCCGGAGCGCCCGCCGAGCCCAGGGACCCGGGCCTCCCTCCCGCCCCGGCTTCCCTCCTTCCCCGGCCTCCCTCCCCTCCCGGCCTCCCGCTCCGGCCTCCCGCTCCGGCCTCCCGCCCCGGGTCCAGTCTCCGGCTCCGGCTCGCGCGCTCTCAGGCCTACGTGCGGCCGGCCACGTTCCCGACCTCCGCCTGGGTCTTGGCGCCACCCGCGCCCTGCCCCGGGGGTGTGTCCGACTCCGGGCCGCGGGGCAGGATCCCCGAGGATTCCTAGAGGCCACGCTGGGCGGTGGGCGTCCGTCCCGCCACCCCAGAACCCGGCCCTTCCTGGTCCTGAAGCGACCTGGGGAGCCGGCGCTTCCCGAGGGCCGGCGCCAGGCTGCCGCCTTCCGGGACCTGCCCCGGCCGCGCGGGGCGGGCTCACCCCGGGACCGCGCCGCCTCCGCCGGCCCTCGCGGCTCCTTCTGTGCGAGTCTAGCTGGGGAAGAAGGCGGGTGGGGAGATGACCTGCCTGGGCCTTGAGCGGAGCATCGCTGTCCTCCTTTTAGTAGGGGCCCTGGGGAGGCCCCAGGTGGTGGGGACTGGGACTTGGCAGGCCTGGGGGGGGGTCCGGCCTGGGGGGTGGTATGGTCTCGCAGCCTCCCTCCTGGAGGCCTGGTCCTGCCTACTGCCGGCCTCCAGTGTCTCTGGCCTGACGTGTCCAGTGTGGCACCTGTGGCTCAGGACGCCATCTACCCTAACCCTCAGCAGGAGAGGGGAGAGGACTCGGGAGCCAGAAGGGAGGTCCTGCGCTGGGGAGGGACCCAGCCAGCAACCCCCGTCCGTGTGGCGGGGCTTGGTGTGTCTCTTTTAGGGTTCAGAAAATGGTTGAGAAAATGCAGACACACCCCCACCCAGCTTCAGGCACCGGACCCTCCGTTCCGTATCTGGAAGCCAGGAAGAGGGCGGAGGCAGCAGGCCTTGACTGGGAGTGGCCCACAGCTGTCTGAACTGCAGCCTTCGGAGTGGGCTCCTTCAGACCTGGCTGGGCTGGGCCTGTGCTGGCGGCTGCCAGCCCTTCTCTGGGCTGTGGCAAGAGCAGGAGCTGCTGCTTGTTGCCGGCCACAGGCAGTGTCCTGGAGCGTGGCCTGGTGGGCGTGGGCCTAGGTGGGAGAGAAGGCCCGTGGCCTTGGAGGGTGAACTCAGGAAGCCCCATCCCATGAGAAAGGCCCAGGTCAGGAGGGTAGACACCGAAGCAGGGCCGACCCCGCTGCCCACCAGGGAGGTACTTTCTTGGTAAGGCTGGTGAAGCCCCAAAGCCCACCCTGTGAATCCTAGAAACACAGAGAGTCCTCAGCCCGCTTCCTTGTCTACAAAGCGGGGGATGCCAGCAGCAGAGGGTGGGGAAGGTTCAGAGCCCAGCCCCCCCCCCCACCGCCCCGCTGCCGTATGCACAGACTAAACAGAAGGGGGGCCCAGTGGAGGGTGCTGAAAGGCCAGCTTGGCAGGTGGGTCTTGGGCCAGTTGGCAGGGGCACCCAGGATGACAGACAGGCGGTTCTGGATGCTTGGTAGAGGGTCTGGAGATGAGAGGCCCCTCCTGGCCCCCTGGGCCGGCCGGCCAGCCGGCTGGGTGGGCCTCCCATCTCTGCCTGAGCTGGGGGTTCCCACTGGCCAGCCTGGCCCCATTGCCTGACGTGGGGTGGGCAGTGCTTCCTGGCTACAGCTGGGAGGGTTTCCACAGTGCACCTGCTGGCCGATCATGCCATCCCAGCTGGGTCCGTTCCTTCCTCTATAAATGGCCTCCCTTACCAAGCCGGGAGGCAGCTGCAGTGTCTCTGTGTGGGGCCTCCCACGCGTGCACAGGGAACAGGTGGTTTTCTGCGAGGGAGGAGGACTCCACACGCTTCCCTAGTTCAGGGCTGGGGTTGAAGTGGGGAGGACAGTCGGGGGCCAGTAGGATGTGGGAGCTGGCATTCTGGGTGACGACTATCAGGGGCCAGTAGGATGGGCCAGCCGGCATTCTGGGCAGAACCAGAGCCCTTCTGTCTCATGAGTTCTGAAAGGCAGTCTGCGGGGCTCTCCCTGGCCCCCAATGCTGCTGCAATGCAGCTCCCCGTGGTGGATGCTCCGTTTTCCTTCTCGAGCCTCCACTGCCTTCCCAGAAAGGCTGACCCTGGGCGAGGGAAACCCATGGCCTAGTGTGCCCTTCTCTGTGCCCTCTGTGTCAGCTGGGCAGCCGGAGAGCGGGGACTGGGAGGCACTTTCTGCCCTGATGGGGAAGCCTGCGTTTATTAGAAGTGTGGGAACAACCAGCCTCACCACTCTGCTGGTGTTGCCCAGTCCTGGGACTTCTCGGGTTCCCCTTCTGTGAAAAGGGGTGTTGGGAACAAGAGAGGCCACCTTGCAAGCTCCTTCCACGCCCAGAAGACCTGTCCTGTATGGCTCTGGGTTGTGCTCTTCTGCTGGCCAGGGGTCCATGCTGTCAAGCAGGGGAGGCATAGTTCAAGGACGTGTGTTGCACAACAGCCCGTGCAAAGGTAGCTGGAAGACGAAACAGGCCGGGCGCGGCGGCTCACGCCTGGAATCCCAGCACTTGGGGCGGCCGAGGCAGGTGGATCACCTGAGGTCAGGAGTTGGAGACCAGCCTGGCCAACATGATGAAACCCCGTCTCTACTAAAAATACAAAAATTAGCCAGGTGTAGTGGTGTGTACCTGTAGTCCAGTTATTGTGGAGGCTGAGACAGGAGAATCGCTTGAACCCGGGAGGCGGAGGTGGCAGTGAGCTGACATCGAGCCACTGCACTCCAGCCTGGATGACAGAGTGAGAATCTGTCTTAAACAAAAAAGTGTGTGTGTAGGGGGGCTTGAAATAAAAAACAGACTAGCCTGTCTGTGCCCACCTTCATCTTGCCCTGGCCTGGGCACTTTTAATTTTCTGGGCCGTTTGTCAAGCGCCCCCTCCCTGGCCCTGCAGAATACGGTGCCCTGTCTTTCCCTGGCCGGTGCGTTTGGACGTTGGTTTCTTGTCACTGCTAGGTGAGGATTTAGCTCCCTGCCTGCCACACCTCCCGACTTCTGTCCATGTTTGGCACCTTCAGGCTCATGCTTACATCCTTAGCTGATCATTAAACTGTGACTTTTGAGCCTGGAACCATTTCACGATCACTGCTTTCTTGCCCTGGAGCTAATGGTGAGGAAAGGTCACCGCAGGAACCAGTGCCCCAAACTCAGACATCGATTTCATTCCAGCCTTTTTTCCTGGGCAGGGTGTCCGTCACCCGCTGGTAGGCAGCAGCAGGCCCATCATCCGGCCTGCTCTCTGACTGGGTGCTGGAAACTGCTGCTTGGGGTTTATTTTGAGAAGGGAAAGCTGATTAAAGGGCCATAAAGAGGCCTGTTGAAGATTACAGCTTCCAGTGAGGTGGACAGAAACCGCTCCTTCAGGCCAAAGCCAGTCCTGTTCTAAATCCAGAGTTTGCTGTAACGGGCACTTTGCTCTTCTGAGGGCTCAGCGCAAAGCTGGTTTTGGCAGCTTCATTGTCTCTGGGCGTCAAAGCATGTTTTATTTTGCAGAGTGCCTGAAGACATTTGGAAGCCAGTGGGACAGTGTCACTGTCACCCTGACCCTGAGGCCCCTTTGCTGTTCCTAGGCCCTCTGACAAGCCCACCAGGCCGGCGGCTGAGATGGCTGTGACCCTGGGCTGACCCACCCGGAGCTGGGGAGACAGAGAGGCTTGTGGTTGGATAGCGGCCTGGGCGTGCTGCTCCTGCCCTCTGTCCTTGCCCTGCCAGAGCTGCTGCCTGCAGGAGCTGGGCGTGAACCCGCGCTGGGACCAAGCCCGCAGGGAGGACGAGGGAGCCCCGGGAGCTCCAGCAGGCTGCGGCTGAGCTGATCTTCATTGCCCCCAACTCCCGCGAGGCTGGGATCGGGGAGCCTTGGACGCCCAGCCTCAGGCAGTAGGACTCGGCTGTTCTGGGTGTTTCTGGTTGTTGGGTGCCTGGGGTGCTCGGCTGTCTGGTGTGGGGGTGATGCTAGCTGGGCTCCCACCCGGTTTCAGCCGCAGCAGCCCCGCTGCCATCTGTGTGTGGATGTGAGGCAGGCACTGTTCCTTTAGAGACGGGGGTGTTTGCTCAAGTGGGAAAGCTGCCAGTGTGGGCAGCTCCAGCTGCCTGCAGGCTCCGTGCTCTGCCCATCCTGATGTCTATGCCCCTTCTGCCCAGAAGCCTGCTGGGGCTCAGGATCCCCTGGCTCCCGGGTGGGGGAAGGCTGCCTGCTGAGCCCAAGGATGGGTCTGGGTGAGTCCTGGCTCTGCTGTCACCTCTGGGCTCTGGAAGGGCCCTCACCCTCCCTCTGGGACTTCCTTGGGTCCCTGTAGTGTGGATGGTGGGAGATGCCCAGGCTGCTGTGTGGGAACCCTGCGCAGTGTGCCAGTCCCTGGGGCTTCTCCAGGCTTGAGGCCTCACCTCACACCTGCCCCCTCCCGCCAAGCCCCTGCCCAAGCTGGAAAGCGGCTGGGAGGCTTGTGTAACCAGGGTGGAGGGCGAGAGTCCTCTGGGGGGGTTCTCCATGTTCAAGGGCGTTGCCAAGGCTCAGGCAGGAGGCTTCAGCAAGTCAGCACCTTCGCCCTCTGCGAGTGCAGGGGCGTGGGAGGGCAGGCGCTTTTGAGGGGCACAAGGCTTGGGCCAGCTGACGTGCGTCTTAGGGCCGGGTGTCATGGTGCGGGTGCCGGGAGGGAGGCAGGAAGAGCAGGGCCGGTCCCAGAAGCAAGCCCATGCTGAGCGCCGTCTGTGACCCAGCCCGGCCCTGCTCAGCTCGGGGCTGTCGGCCGCTGGCCTGGGCTTCTTGCTTCCTCTCTGAGGATGGTGGTCTTGGGTGCCGCTTTTGTATGAAATCATGGCTGTCCTTTGAGATGGGGGCTCTCGGGAGGAAGGTGTGGGGTCCGTTGGCACCAGCCTTTCCTGTGTGCCACCTCCCTGTCAGTGTCGGCTTTGCAGGGCCCCCCTGCTGAGATGTACTGTTTCTTTCACTGTAGTCCCAGGAGCCCAGGACGAGGGGACAGGAAAGAGGAGGTGACCACAGAGCCTGGTGACACCAGCGTCCTGTCCAGGCTGGGGGGCGAGGGTGCCTGAGGCCCTGGGGCAGGGCAGTGCTGTTCCCTGGGTGGCTGGGGCTGGAGGGGCTCTGTTCTCAGTCTCGCATCTCATTGAGGGGGTAGGAGCCTGTACCCAGTCCAATGGGCACTTTCCTCAGTGCCCAGGGCTGTTTCCCGGGCACCTCCACTCCAATGCCATGGCCTGAGCATCTGGGGCAGGGGCCAGGGTGGGAGGCGGCCGCCCTCTTTTCCACCTGCCCCTTTTTACTGGTCTGTGGTAAAGGCCTAGCTCTGTGGCCTGTGAGGGTGGGGGCTCTGTGGCAGAGGTTGGGGCAGTGGAGCGTGGAGTTCGGGACGTTTGCACACGCCTGGTTTGCATGCCCCATGTGGGATGCTCCCAGTTTATCTCTCGGCACCAGGACTCCATGTGCTCAGACGCTGATGCCTGGAGCCTGCTGGGTTCACCCGAAGCTCCACCCAGGGGCCCAGGGCTGTCTGCAAGACGGTTCCTGGCCCGGTACCTTCTGAGCTGGGGAGGGTGTCCAGGCCTTCCCCTGCCCTCTGAGCTGGGGAGGGCGTCCAGGCTTCCCCAACCCCCTGCCCTCTGAGCTGGGGAGGGCGTCCAGGCTTCCCCAACCCCCTGCCCTCTGAGCTGGGGAGGGCGTCCAGGCCTTGCATTTCAGGTTGGACTGACAGATCTGCCCTGACCTCTGCAGGCATGAACGCTGCCGTCCGGGCCGTGACGCGCATGGGCATTTATGTGGGCGCTAAAGTCTTCCTCATCTACGAGGTAAGGCCAAGGTGGGCTGCGTGTGTGCAGGGAGTGGGGCCTCCTGGGGCGTGGGCAGAGGTGTATTCTGTGTGGGTCCCCCTGGGAGGCTGGGTGGTCCTGGCTGGGGGGAGCTGACGGGTACATGGTCTTGGGGAGCGCGAGGGGGAGCGTGGGGCCCAGCCAGAGGGATCTGTGGGAGGAAGAGGAGACTGGACCCCCTGGGCTGGAGGCCCAGAGGCTGCAGGGGCTGGGCCTGGGGGCAGGGAAGGAGCCGGGTAGAGACAGAGCCCAGGCCCTGCCTGCAGTGATGGCTGGTCAGCATTCAACCAGGGGCCTCCATCTGGGGGTTGGTCGGACATGATCTGTGCCAGGGGCCAGACCCCACCCAGCACGCCCCTGCCTGGTGTCCCCCAGCCTGGGCCCTTGTCCCGCCCCTAGGCCTCTGTGAGTGGGGTCAGAGACCTCACTGCCTCCGCCCTCGTCTTCCGCAGCCTCCTGCCTCACCACTCAAATCTGGGGAACAGCCGCCACCAGCCCCTGGCAGCAGCTCTGCGGTGTCCACATTGAGGGTGTTCCCGTACGAGCAGCCAGTGCCCCCTGCCTCAGCCCCAGCTCCCCGTGGGAGGTTTGAGGCTCGCCCTCTATCTGGGCATTTACACACACACACACACACACACACACACACACACACACACACACACACACAGGGCTTGGGCCACACCAGGTTCTCTCGGCCTCTGCGTTCAGGTCTTGTGGTTTTCTGGTGGCATTTTGTTATTTTGTTGCCACTTTTTACATAAAATGTAGCTGTTTACATAAAATGTAGCAACTTCAGCTCTGCTTCTGGTGCTGAGCCCCACCTGCTCACTGCTCACCGCCCCAGGCCTCAGTTCCCTCACCTTGGCCCCAGGGAGCAGCTGCCACCCAGCCCTCCCTCTACAGGGCTGTGTGGATGAACGAGTGGGCGAAGGACGGGATGAGTGAGCGGTCTGTGCAGGCCCCTCCGCTCCCTGTGGCCAGGCTGGGGTGCTGCTGGGGCCCTGGTAGTATGGGATTAGGAAGCAGGTCTCAGAGCCCCAGGGAGCTGGGTGTGGGGGGAGCTGGGTGTGGGGGGAGCTGGGTGTGGGGGGAGCTGGGCGTGGGGGAGCTGGGCGTGGGGGAGCTGGGTGTGGGGGGAGCTGGGTGTGGGGGGAGCTGGGTGTCGGGGGAGCTGGTTGTGGGGGAGCTGGGTTTGGGGGCCAAGGCCTCCAAGCTGGGTAGGCTGTGTCCCTACAAGCCCCTCCCACCACCTGCTCGACCCTCAGTTTCTTCTTCTAAGTGGCGATGGGGAGAAATTAGGGTTTTCCTGAACCCCCATACATTCGTGGTTGGGACAGACTTCTGCAGCAAAAGACAGAAAACAGGTTCACAGTGCAGGGTGTGTCCTGGAAAATCAGAGAAGAGTGCTGAGCTGTGCCTGGAGTCCTGGCTTCTGCAGAGCCCCAGCAGAGACCAGTGTGCTGGAGAAGCCGTGGGGCACAGGGGCGCAGTGTGAGACTCTGGGAGGTGGGGAGATACGGGAGGGGGAGTTTAGGGAGGAGGGAATGAAGCGGGGTGGGCACAGGTCCTCGAGGCTGTCTCTGGGGAGGAGGAGCTGTGAGGGCATTTACATCCTGTCCAGGTGGGAGCAGGAGGAGCTGTAGTCTGGGGATGCTCTGTCCTGCTTTTCTCTTGAAGGGAAGCAAGGCTGAGCGACTCTCTGCACCTGCTACCTAGTGGGCTTAGCTCAGAAACATCCACATCAAAGAGGCGTCTTTGAAGGTGAGACATTCGCTGTAGGAGCCATGGGGAGACTTCCCCTCCGTCCTGTGAAGATTCTTGGAAAAATCCATTTGTGAAAGGCGGATTACTAGGGAGAAGGTGCTGGCACTCGCTGTGAACAGGCATGAGGAGGTGGGGCGAAGATGCTGACCTGCCTCCTCCCAGGGGAAAGGGGCATGGGCAGCCTGGATAATTCTACGGGGGTAGTAAGTGTTTTTCTTTCTCTCTTTTTCTTTTTTTTGAGACAGAGTCTCACTCTGTTGCCGAGGCTGGAGAGTGTAGTGGCGCGATCTCAGGTCATTACAACCTCCGCCTCCTGGGTTTAAGCAATTCTCCCGCCTCAGCCTCCTGAGTAGCTGGGATTACAGGCACCCACCACCATGCCCGGCTAATTTTTTTATTTTTAGTAGCGGTGGGGTTTCACCATGTTGGCCAGGCTGGTCTTGAACTCCTGGCCTCTGCTTATTGACCTGCCTCTGCCTCCCAAAGTGCTGGGATTAGAGTGCTGGGATTAGAGGTGTGAGCCACCACACCTGGCCATCAATGATTTTTCGGGGATTCAGTGGGCTTGGACAGCATCTGTTGGCCCTGGTGACCATCTGCCCAGGTGTGCTGGTACACGAGAGTCTTTCTTCCTGTGATGACCTCAGCGCATGGAAATGCAGGGAAGGGACTGACTGCCACCGTGCTTTCCTGGCAGCTGTGGGCTTTAGGCAGATGTGGGGGCTTCAGGGAGCAGCTGCATCCGCGCTTGGAGGAGGCGGAGGGTCGAGTGGAGAGGCGGGAGGGGGAGGTTGGGGACGCCTGCGCGTGTCAGTTCACATCAGACTCTGCATTTTGGGTCTCATTTGAGCCCCAGCACTGGTTTCCTTCAACAGGGAGATCGATCCCTTCCCCTTGGGGCTTTCGGGGCAGAAAGAGGGTGGCCTTGCATGTGAAAACTCTTCTCAATTCTGACACAAAGGAGGGCTCAGGACGGGGCTGCGCTTATCCTCCCAGGCAGAGCCCAGAACGGGAAGTGTCCTGGGCCTGGAGCCGGGCCTGCAGGGGTGAGAGGCGGGGGTGGGACGAGAGGGGAAGGAGGAGGAAGGTGAGCTGGGCTCGGGAGGACAGATACAGAGGCAAAGCGCGTGGAAGGGGCAAACCTAGAGCTTCCAGAAGGTCCAGGTTCCAAGAGGAGGAGGTTGTGTCTGAGACTGATTCCGGCAGGCCTTGTGGGGTCTGTGGAGACTGCTGGGCTGGCCCCGCCTGGCCTCTTCTCCACCCAGTGGGGCAGGAGTCTGGCTGGCACCTGGGCTGCGTGTTGGGTCCTGAGTTTTGTAGGCAGCTCTGTGTGTGGTGCCTCCTGCTCAGATGGGGCTGTGGGTTTGGAATCATTTTCCGGTTTTCCTTGTGCCTGGCTGGGGGCTGGTATGACCAGAGGGTGCCTGGCCTGAGCCAGAGGAAGTGGCTCTGTGGTCCCTCAGATCACCCCTGAGATGCAGCGGGGGCACCTGTCCCCACAACCTGGCTGGTAAGGGCGGGAGACTATCGGGCGGCGACCCCGCCACGGCCAGGGTGGAGCCACTCTTGTCCCCGGCGTGCACTGCCCCTTGACCTGCTGCCTGGTTGAGGCACTTCCCTCCTGGCCGCCAGAGCCCTGACACCTGGTTGGGGAGGAGGCGGAAGGAGGAGCAGAGGCACGGAGTGGAGCTGGCATCGCCCCAGGCTGAGAGTGGCACCTCCAGTGCTTCGTCTCGTGGCCGAGAAGCTGCTGCTGTCATGAGGGGCGGGGGGCTGCACGGAGGAGGCCATCCTTCTCCTCTCCGCACCATTAGTGAAAGTCATGAGAGCCCCTGTCCTTACCCAATGAGAGACGGCCAGCTGCGCGGCAGGAAATGGGCACGTGGCATGGAGGCTGTGCAGGCGCCATCAGGGAAATCCCTGGCAGAACCACACGAGAGGCGGGTCCACAGGTGGAAGGCCCTGTGGTGGGACCCAGAGCCTGGAGCCCTGCCTGGGGTGTGGCCGGCCCTACGGATGGTGGCCACTGGGTCCACTGGACCCACGACTCCCCTCAGGCGGGGGCGTGGCTGAAATGGGCACACCCCTGCAGGGAGGGGTGTATTCTCAGCCGCCCACTCTGGTGGGCACACGGGAGCCTGTGCTGTTCGTGCGGTCGCCACACAGCAGGAGCCCGTGCAGTGCACCTCGCCGGACGCACGTGCCGGAGGACTCCAGGGGGATAGAAGGAGCCAGACACAGGTCTCTGAGGCTCCATTTCTGCGACGCTCAGAGCAGGCAGACCTAGGCTGCACTCCCAGGAGCCGGAGGGCGGGCTCCGCTGGGGGCTTTGGGGCACTGGTCTTTCCTATGTGGATCTTGGGGTCGAGGGAGCTCAGCCAGGCCCCTGCACCAGAGCGCTTAGGAGTCACACCCCAGACAGACAGACTCGCTGCCCTGCAGAGGGTGTCTGGAGCCCCGTGTGGGGTACCCGGTCCCCATTACCCCAGGCCCTGGGAGCGGTAGGGCCTCAGTCAGCACCACCCCCGGCCTGCTTTTTGTTAGTGGGGTGACAGTCCTGCTGCCACAGGGCCGCCTGTCTCATGCCTGTCCCGCTCTGATTTCAGGGCTACGAGGGCCTCGTGGAGGGAGGTGAGAACATCAAGCAGGCCAACTGGCTGAGCGTCTCCAACATCATCCAGCTGGTGAGGCCAGGGAGCTCGGATGCATGCGTGCACATGGACTCGCAGACGGACAGACACAGAGACAGATGTGCACACAAAGACACACATACATATAGACATGCACACAGATAGACATGCACACACACACAGATACACAGAGACAGGCACACACACAAAGATGAGCACACAGAGATGCACGCAGACTGCATGTGCACACACAGACACGCACACAAGACACAAACACCTGCACACACATACACAGACATGCACACACGCACACATAGGCACACACACCCCCAGACACACAAACACAGAGACAAATGCATACACAGACACAGAGACAGACACGTGAACACACACACACAGACACATACCCAGACATAGACATGCACACACACACAGACACACAAACCCAGAGACAGACGCGCATACACACAGACACAAACCCGGAGACAGACGCACAGACAGAGACAGACTCATGCATACACACAGACACGCACACATACACACTCCCAGACACAGACACGCACACACAGACATGTACAGACACAGTCACACAGCGCCGTGCACACACACATAGAGAGACATACACGCAGGAATAGACACATGCAGACAAATACAGAGATATACACATAGACACACAGAGACGCACACACAGGTATGCATACAGAAACGTTACAGACACATGTACTTGAGTTACACACACACATACCCCATCCCACAGGGGCTGAGGTTCAGGCCACCTGTGTCATCTGCCATGGAGTGGTTGGGTCATAGGGTCATAGGGTCATGGGGTTGCCAGGGGCCAGGAGAGCCTGGAGATGTGGCTGTGCTGGGTTCTGGGGACACCCCAGCAGAGGCTGGCGGTCAGGGCCATGTGAGCGTACCTGGAGCTGCTGAGGCCCTGGGGACCCCAGTCAGTTTCCGGAGTTGGTGCAGGGCCTGTGTGTGCAGTGCGCGTGCACGTATGTGGGGGCCTGGGCGTGCAGTGTGCATGCACGTGTGTGGGGCCTGCGTGTGCACGTGTGTGGGACCTGCGTGTGCACGTGTTTGGGGGCCTGTGCATGCACGTGTGTGGGGGCCTGTGTGTGCATGTGTGTAGGGGCCTGCGTGTGCAGTGTGCATTGCAAGTGTGTATTGCGCTCTGCATCTCAACGCCTTCCTCTCCGTTACCGTGGGCTTCCAGAGCCCAGGACCAGATGTCACCCTCCTGTTTCTATCCAAGGAGTGAGGCACAGGGAGGTGGGGCCCCGTCAGGTTTCTGGAGATCCCTGGGCCTCTCCATCTCTCTCTCAGGCCTGCCCATCCCTTTGCTGCCCAGTCCTGGGGTCCCTCTGCTGACCCACAGGACCTGCCTGCTGGTGGCCATCCCTCCTGAGGTTTCCGGCCTCTTCCGTGCAGGGTGGCACTGTCATTGGCAGCGCCCGATGCAAGGCATTTACCACCCGGGAGGGCCGCCGGGCAGCGGCCTACAACCTGGTCCAGCGTGGCATCACCAACCTGTGCGTCATTGGTGGGGACGGCAGCCTCACGGGTGCCAACATCTTCCGCAGCGAGTGGGGCAGCCTGCTGGAGGAGCTGGTGGCGGAAGGTGGGTCTGCGCCCAGGTGTGCTGAAGGCCCCGGGGTTGTTTTGCCACTGCTTGCAGGCATGGGAATGGGCAGGACAGAGGGAGGAGGGAGCCCTGGATGCCCTGAGGCAGATGAGGGGCTGTGTGGCCGCTGGCCGGGGAGGTGTGGTGCATGCCAGCCCGAGCTCGGACATCTCCCAGAGAGGAGGTCAGTGCATAAGCCTGAGGGAGGGACCCGGGCAGTGCCTGGCCTCGTAGAGGCTGGCGTGGCTCACCCTGCGTGGCGCGGACAAGTCTCTGTAATTGATGCCAGAGAGATTCTGGACAGGCGTGGTCAGAGTTCACAGAACAGAGTTAAAGTTCTGGTAACGGGACACGGAGTCCTGAGGCCGCCGCCTGGAAAGTGGCCTCTTGGAGCCTTGCCCGTTCCATGTCCCTGGTGTGGGGGACCCTGAGGTGAGGCCGTGGCCACTCTGCAGGGCACCCCACAGGTCCCCGTCTATCCTCGGCCCCAGCGGGTCCAGCCATGCTGCTGCAGGGTTTCGGGCGGGAGGAGGCTGAGCCTGGGATGGGGAAGGCGGCAGGAGAGGGGTCTCTGGCCCTGCAGGTGGGGCCTCTGGAGCCTCAGCCAGACCCTCCCACTGCTCCTGGCCCAGGTAAGATCTCCGAGTCCACGGCCCAGACCTACTCGCACCTGAACATCGCCGGCCTGGTGGGCTCCATTGACAATGACTTTTGTGGCACCGACATGACCATCGGCACGGACTCGGCCCTGCACCGCATCATGGAGGTCATCGACGCCATCACCACGACCGCCCAGAGGTGAGCGAGGCTGGCGCCAATGAGCCGGCTCGGTCCCGTCCTCCCTGCTCGGTGGTGAGGCGGCCTCAGGGTGATGGCTATCGGAAGGGCAGTGGACGCTGGTGGCCCCAGCATCCAGGCCATCCGCCGTCAGCCCCCAGCTGGGGGGATGCACAGTGGGGATCCATGCCCACTCTGCCAGGCTGCCAGGGCCTTTGTGCAGCACCCTCTGTGGGGCAGCTGCTTGGCCCCAGAGGGAGTCCTGGGCTGGGCTGGCCTGGGCTGGGCTTGGCGAATGACCCTCAGCCTTGGAGCAGATCAGTGGAAACCAGCCAATGGAAGGAGCCCAAGTGTCTTAGCTCAGAGCCTGAGCAGCCCTGTTGTGAGAAGGGGCTGTCCCCTGCCTGCTTCTCCATCTGCGGAGTCCATGGGTACCCCGCAGGGGATGGGGCTGGCAGGGCCGCGTGGCTGGCACTGATGCCTACTCCTGTCTGTCTCCGCAGCCACCAGAGGACCTTCGTGCTGGAGGTGATGGGCCGGCACTGTGGGTGAGGAGGGGCTTTCTGGCCCGCTGGGGTGGGCTGGGTGCTGCTGGGGACCGCAGTGATGGGTGCGGCATTTTCTAGGGTTCAGTTAACACCACGGGTGTGAGAGAGCCTGGGGGGGGCGGGCAGCGAGAGAGATTGAGAAGCTGCAGCCCAGAGTCGGGCCTGCGGGGGGTGGGGACGCTCCCCCCAGCCACTCCCCGCAGGGTCCTGAGCCGGCAGGTGCCCACCCCTCCAGGTACCTGGCGCTGGTGTCTGCGCTGGCCTCGGGGGCCGACTGGCTGTTCATCCCTGAGTCCCCTCCTGAGGATGGCTGGGAGAACTTCATGTGCGAGAGGCTGGGTGAGGTGGGTGCCGTCGTCGGTGGGGGCGCAAGGTGTCCTGGGGCACTGGGTGGCGCTCTGGGGTGTGGGGACCAGCCTTGGCCAACGGATCCATCACTCCGTGGTTCAACAGCAGCTGCAGGTGCTCCTCAGAGTGGGACCTGTAGTCCGGGGCTACAGGCGTGGCCTCCTCGAGGCACCTGTGGTCCTGTCCCCAGTGGGCAGGAGGCGGAGAAGGTCATTCAGGCCACCGTCCCAGGCTCAGTGTGGGGAGCGTGGTGAGGCTGCTTCCTGTTGGGGGCACTGCTGGGCCTGGGCCGGTGGGAGGTGGCTGGTTGTGAGGATGAGTGGCCCCCGTGAGGTCCAGATGGCGGGGCCCTGGGGTGGCGGGCCCAGGAGCTGGGCAGGTGGGGAGCAGGGACTTCCCCTGAGGGAAGGCCTGGGGGTGGGTTCTAAGCTGAGGATATGTGCCCTAAAGTGCCTGTGGCCCCTGAATGGACAGGAGAGGGTGCGCGGAGGCTGCTGGGAGGCCGCCGCCTGCTCTGGGAAAGGTGGCCGATGCTTGGCGGGGAGGGGTGTGCCTGGAGTGGGTTGCCTGCAGTGCTGCCCTTTGGTTCCCTTGGGGTGGGGTTGACACTGTGCCCTGTGGACCCTGAGACCCCTCAAATAGGGGCCCTTCAACTAGGCCGGCCGGCCCCTCTGTGGGCTGGGGTCAATGGTGGAGCAGAGGCGTGGGCCACGGAGGCTGTCCCAGCCCACGCCCCGCCACGCAGGGCAAGTCGGGGCCCCGTGGCTCTGTCCGCTGTGCTCTGAGGCTGAGGCAGGACCACCGGCACCAGTCCTGGGGCAGAGGGTGGGTCTGGGCTGACACGGTGTGCCCGTCCCCGTGTGAAGGTGGCAGCATCACTCCCATCTGTGTGGATCCTAGTTCTACCTCTGCTTGGCGGAGGGCAGTGGGTGAGGCCAGGGGTCATGACCTGGCTTCTGGAACCTTCCTCAGTGGAGCTCAGAGGCTGGGTGGAGTTGGAGCCCTGCAGGGGAGGCTGGCCGAGGGCAGGTCCTGTGAGGGGCCTCGTCTCCTAGGGTGGGACCTTCCTCTTGGGGTACCCCCCCGCCCCACCAGCTGCAGTGGGACCTTTGCCTTGGCTTATGTCTGTGACTTAGGTTGGGCCCTCCTGGAAGTGGCCTGGATGAGAGGTCGGCCCGCCTCAGTCCTTCCCACTCTGTGAGTGGCTCAGGCCCTGGCCGAGAGCCTCAGTTTCCCCTGTAACATGTGGGTTCCTGCCTTGCCCACTGCCCAGGGTGTACTGGGGCAGGGAGGGTGGCACAGCTTCCCTGCTGTACCTGCAGCCTAGCTTCTGGGTGTCTGACCTCACCTGCACTGGCGCCGCCGCCTCCAGGCAGCCCTCCACTCCCACCACAGCTCAGGCACAGCTCCAACGCTGTCCCTGTAGGAGGCTCTGTGGTCCATGGTGGGGCAAACATGGGGCTTGTGGCTCAGAGTGGTTCCCACAAATGTTTGTTGGGTCACTGAAGAAGTGGATGGCTGAAGAAGTGGAAAGCCCTTTAGTTCCTGGAGAGCTGGGCCATGGCTGGGGTGTGAGGTGCTGAGGCAGGGGCCTGCCACGTGTGCCAGCGTGGACCCGCAGTGGCTTCAGGACAGGGTGTCCAGGGAGCCCTGGCTGGAGGCAGCGTTGTGAGGCCCCCGGTTGTAAGGATGAGCAGATGGCGGCTCACGGAGCTCCGAGTAGCGCAGGCTGGCCTGGGCAGGCCCTCTGCCCTCTGCCCTCTGCCCTCTGCCCTCTGCCCTGCGCCCCATGGAGCTGCAGTCCCGAGTGTCTTCCCGCCTGGAAGCCTTCGCCCGACACGGGCCCTGCCCCAGCTGTGTGTGTGCTGGGCCCAGCCCCGAGGCCGCTTCCTCCCTGCCGCCCTTGCCAGGATTTCGGGCAGAGCTCTCTGCTCACCACCCGCAGCACGCTGGGGGTCCTGGTGGCCGCAGCCTCATCGCTGCCCCGGCTTTCCAGTCGTGCTTTCCTCTTGCTGGGTGGGGGCTGTGCCCTGGCCCACGTGGGCTGGGAATGGTGGCCCCAGGGGGGCTTTCGGGGCCTGGGGGCTGTGTCCAGGTCAGGTTTCCCCACCTGGCGGCTGAGCCCTGTCCTGCCTTTGACCCAGACTCGGAGCCGAGGGTCCCGCCTGAACATCATCATCATTGCCGAGGGTGCCATCGACCGCCGCGGGAAGCCCATCTCATCCAGCTACGTGAAGGACGTGCGTGCGGGCCTGGGGGCGGCCACGGGCAGAGCCCCTGCATGTCCAGGCTGGGTGGGCTGGGCTCAGGCTGGTCCTTCCCCTCTCCTGCAGCTGGTGGTTCAGAGGCTGGGCTTTGACACCCGAGTGACCGTGCTGGGCCACGTGCAGCGGGGAGGAACGCCCTCCGCCTTCGACCGAGTCCTGGTAAGTGGCCATCACCCTGCCCTGCTGGACGCGTGCCTGAGCGGGGTGTGTGCGTGTGGGTGTGGGCAGCGTACCTGTGAGTGTGGCATGTGCACTGTGTGTCCATGTGGCTGTGGGTATGTGCCCATGTCTGTGTGCGTGTCGGTGTGCGTGGGGGTTGTGTGGTCCTTGTGGGTATGTGTGTCAGTGTGGGTGACTATGTCTGTGTGGGGGGTATGTGTGTGGGGTGTGTGGTTCTTGTGGGTGTGTCTGTGTCTGTGTGTGTCGTGGGTGGGTGTCAGTGTGGGGGTGTGTGGGTGTGGGTATGTGTGGGTGTGTCTGTGTGGGTGTGTGAGTATCCACATCTATGTATGTGTGGGTATTCGGTCCTCATGGGTGTCCATCAGTGTGGGTGTCTGTCAGTGTGGGTGTGTGGTCCTCATGGGTATGTGAGTGTAGGTGAGTGTCCATGTCTGTGTGTGGGGGCATGTGTGTGGGGTGTGCGGTCCTCGAGGGTGTGTGGGTGTGTCTGGTCCTCATGGGTGTCAGTGTGGCTGTGTGTGTTTGTGTCTGTGTGCGGGTATGTGTGGGGGTTGTGTGGTTCTCGTGGGTGTGTGTCATTGTGGGTGTGAGTGTCCAAATCTGTGTGTGTGTGGGTATGCATGGAGGGTGTGTGGTCCTCGTGGCTGTGTGAGTGTCCTTGTCTGTACGTGTGGGCATGCCTGGGGGATATGTGGTCTGCACAGGTATATTATGTGTTAGTGGGTGTGTCAGTGTGGGTGTGTCAGTGTGGGTGTTTGTCAGTGTGGATGTGTGTCAGTGTGTGTGTGTGTATTGTGTCAGTGGTGTGTCAGTGTGGATGTGTGTCAGTGGGTGTGTGTGTGTCAGTGTGTGTGTCTGTGTTGGTGTGTATGTGTGTCAGTGGGTGTGTGGGTATGTGCATTAGTGTGTGGGTGTGTCTGTGTGTCATTGTGGGTGTGTGTCCGTGTGCGTGTCTCAGTGTGTGGGGGTGTGAGGCGTGTTTCCTCAAGCTGTTTCTCCTGGGGGAGAGCTAGGCCTGCTTTTCTATTCCCTGCAGGTGTAGGGAACTCAGACCTGCGGACCACCCGCCGGCCCGTGCCTCCTGGCAGTTCTCCTCCCCACCCCCTGCCAGCCCCACATGGCAGCAGGCAGGGCCGCAGACGCTCCTGGCAGCTGGGGGCAGGCCCTTGGAGAGGGGGCTGGGTGGTCAGAGGGCGGTGCCCATGGTGCCCGCAGCGTGGTGGTCTAGGAGGCTGGCACTGGGAGAGAGCGTGCAGGGTCTGGCCTGACCTTGCTGCCCTTAGCCGTGATCACCGCTAGGTCTCACTTTGTCCTCTGGAAAATGGGAATCAAGTTGGAGCCAAATGGAATGGGTCTGGGGCCAGGAAGGCCCCATGGAAGGCAAAATGCCAGAGTGTGAGGGTGGTCACCCTCTCAGGCGGGGCCAGAGACTGCCAGCCAGGTGGGACTTGTGCTGAGGCAGACCAGGTGACTGCGCCCGGCCCTGTGATTCCTGTGCTGAGCCTTCCCAGGGAACCCACAGTGCTGGACCGGGTCCACTCTACAGAGGGGACGCTTCTTCAGAGAGGGGCCCTGCCGACCTGGTCAGGCAGCTGCTGCCCCTCTGTGAGGCCTCAGGCTCACTCAGCCTCTCAAGGGACCTGGGACATCAGGGCAGGCCGGCCACCGCTGTGGTGCCTGGGTGGCGGAAATGCTGCTGCCGTGCCTGGGCGGGCTGTGTGCTCCCTGCCTGCAGGCTGCTGGGTTTTCTGGCCAGTGTCTTGGATGGTTGACGCTGGGTCTGAATCAAAGGAGAGCTCATCGCCCTCAGCCTTGGCTGTCACCCAGAGCACCAGCGTTTTTGTGCTCCCTGAGCCTGTATTCCCACTGAGTGTCACAAAGGGGGCTGGTGACCTAGCACACGCAGTGGTAACTGGGACTTTTCCAAGGAACCTCAGCCTGCGTGAGGGGTGTCTCTGAGGCTGCCCCTGAAACAGCGCCCTGGAGAGAGTGCCCGGAACAAGGAACGGCCTGTGCGTCACTTGCAAGATGAAGAAACCTGTGTGGACCATGGAGAGCTGCCCGGGGCCCCGCGGGTCCAGCGGCCGGGCTGCCACAGGGCCAGAGCTGCCTGGGGACCCCCGGGTCCAGCGGCCGAGCTGCTACGGGGCCGCATTGGCGGTCATGGGACAGCCACAGAGACCGCAGGCCTCGCTGTCTTGCCTCCTGTGCTGTTCTCTGGGTGGGGCGGGACCTGCCTTTGCTGTGTGTTCCCAGGGGTAGCTCCTGGGTGTGTTCACTGCGCAGCCCCTTGGCTGGCGCTGACACATACCAGGAAAGTCCCGACATGACACGAGAGCCTCCATGCAAGGAACCGTCGCAGCAGAAGGGCCCTGGGCACCCGGCCCCACCCTCGCCCTGTGTGCCCAGTGATGGCACTGAGTGCTGGCGGGTGGTCACGTTGCATGGCACCCTGCAGCCTGAGGTGCAGCCCGGGCCTCCCAGCAGGGCTGTGGGGACACTGTGACAAATAGTGTCCTACATGCTGCTGTGAGTGCAGGTCAGACGCGTTTCCATCTCTGGTGCCACCTGTTCTGAAAGCTTCTGTCATCGTGGGGGGCTTTGGAAGCTGCGTTTGCACATCTGCAGAGGGCGGGCATGTGGCTTGGGGTAGAGGAACCAAGTGGGTGTGCCAGCGCCAACCCTCCCCACAGAGCAGCAAGATGGGCATGGAGGCAGTGATGGCGCTGCTGGAGGCCACACCCGACACGCCGGCCTGCGTGGTCAGCCTCTCGGGGAACCAGTCGGTGCGGCTGCCCCTCATGGAGTGCGTGCAGATGGTAAGCCCTGGGCCGTCCCTCGCGACCACCTGGCCCCGTTCCCAGTCCCCACTCCTGGGCCCCAGCCCAGGGAGCACCGGCGGGCAGGGCCTCATGGCTGGCCCAGGGGACCCCAGGCCTCCGGGAGGGGAGGGGTGTGAGCACATCTCCCTGGGACGGTCCCCAAGAGGTTCATCAGAGCTGCAGGGAGCCTGGTACGCGGGAGAAGGCACAGGGGCCATGGTCACTGAGCTGCTGTGGGCAGTGCTGGGAGTGGGGTGAGGAGGGGCCAGTGGTCAGAGCTGAGCCCTGGAAGGAGCTCGGGCAGGTGGTGGGGACACTGGTGTGGCTGGAGCAGGGACCCTGGGAGGGGAGGTGCGGGGAGGGCAGAGGCCAGGAGGCCGGGTATGGGGGCGGGCCCAGCTCTGGCTCAGTGGGTTCGGAGGCCTGCCTGGAGCTGGGGCCGCTGGAAGAGGGGAGGGCAGCTAGGGCAGGGTGGGCCTCTTGGCCTTGGCTAGCCCCCTGGGACCTGACCTTAGTAGTGACCACTGCTCCCAGGGAGAGGCTGCTAGGCCACGGCCAGCCCCAGGGCAAGAGGTGCCGGCAGTGGCCATGGCTGTGCGGGCAGCAGTCTCCACACCCTGTGTTCGGTTTCTCTTAAGACCAAGGAAGTACAGAAGGCCATGGACGACAAGAGGTTTGACGAGGCCATCCAGCTCCGTGGCAGGTGAGCGCCCTCAGCAGACCCTGCATCCTCCACGCTGGGCCCTGGTGCCAGCTGTCATGTGCCATGGTGGCGCTGTGCACGCCTGGTCTGGGTTGTCCTTCCAGGCACAGTGTTTGAAGATTGAGGGAGGAACGGGCCTTCAGATGGTACACGAGGTGGGCAGGGAGGCGTGGTGCTGCGGGAGACCCTGGGTGGCGGCTTGGGCAGGACCCAGTGCCCAAGGATTGGGCGTGGCAAGGGGCTGAGAAGCTGTGGACACAAGCCCAGGACCTGGGGTGGTCCCATGGGGCTTGGAAGGCTGGCAGGTGGTGGGTGTGGGTGCTGCCCTCCTGCAGGTCTGCTGGCACCCGGGGCAGGCTGGATTTGACATCTGGTTTCCCGTCTGTGCCTCTACCTGCTACCAAGATGGCCTGCCCTTCCTGGAGCTGGATGGCGGCCGTGTTTTGCAGCACGACTGACACAGCCTCGTGTTGTGTGGGGGTCTTCACCTTCTCTGGAAGGAGCCCTGCTGGGCATGCGTGCTTGCCGCGGCCTCTTCCGGGGCTGTGTGCCTGTGACCAGCCTGCTGGGCTCTTTCATGGCGGCGCTGTGGCTGTGGCTGCGCTGTGGCTGTGGGGCTGCGGGGATGCAGGGCTGTGCAGGGCATGACCTGAATCCTTTCCAGGAGCTTCGAGAACAACTGGAACATCTACAAGCTCCTCGCCCACCAGAAGCTCTCCAAGGAGAAGGTGAGGCAGGGAGCGGCCTAGTGGGAACACTGGTGTGGCTGGAGCAGGGACCGGGCTGGAGAGGGAGGAGCAGGCTCTGTTATTCTGCAGCCTCTTCTCGCCTGCCCCTGTAGCTGGGCCTGCTTCTGCTGCCTTCCCTCCTGCTGGGGTCCGAGCTGTGAGCCGGGAGGGTGGGCTCAGCCTCTGTGGCTGGCAGGTCCCAGGCTCTGGGACCCTGGCTACAGGGCTGGCGGTTGCTTCTCAACGGTTGATGGAAATAAAGTCAGGCCCACAGGATTAGCTCGGCAGAGGAGGGAGCCATTGTGAGAAAGTATCCAATGGCTGGCGCAGTGGCTCATGCCTGTAATCCCAGCACTTTGGGAGGCTGAGGTGGGTGGATCACCTGAGATCAGGAGTTTTTGATACCATCCTGGACAACATGGTGAAACCCTGTCTCTACTAAAAATAAAAAATTAGCTGGGCGTGGTGGCAGGTGCCTATAGTCCCAGCTACTCAGGAGGCTGAGGCAGCAGAATCACTTGAACCCAGGAGGCAGAGGGTGCAGTGAGCTGAGGTCCTGCCATTGCACTCCAGCCTGGGTGACAAGAGTGAAACTCCGTCTGAAAATAAAATGTCCCCGAACAGCTGAAAACCTCAGGAAATGGGATCTCTCCATCACAAGGATGAAGCGGCTTGTTTCTAAAGTCCTGGGTTCCACGAGGTCCTGTAGAGTCAGGGCCAGTGAGGTCTGGAGCCACGGCCAGAGCAGCAGGCTGGGGCAGGCAGCGTGGCCCACCTGGGACTGGTCCTTCCGTCCTTGGCCATCTGTGGGTGTCCCTGCTGCTCCAGCCTCCTGCTGATCCCGGAGCTGATCCCGGTCAGTGTGCTGCACCCTCCGTGGTGGGGCAGCGTGGTCCACGAAGCACCTGGAACCTGGCTGGGGCGTGACCGGCTGTGGGGACAGCAAGGCTGGTGGTGGCTGTGGAACCCTTGGGTGTGGCTGCTGCCCAGTGGGCTGTGCTGCACGTGATGGGTGTGTGCCATATTCAGAGCCTCGGCACACAAGGTGGCGGGGAGGAGGTGGCAGCCGTCACTGGATTCACATGGACACAGTGGGTTCGGGGTCTGTGGGGTTAAATTAACTAGTCCTAACGGGACTGTCTTCATGTCTTTGTGTCTTCCCGTCCCTTAACGTGGCTGTTAGAAAGCAGGACAGTCAGGGCCCCCTTCCTTCCCTGTGGCTGTGCCCGCCCCTGCCGCCAGCCCCTTGCGTGAGTGCAGACCCTGGCTCAGACCTGTGCTCCTGCCCCAAGCCTGGCTTCACTACGGTGCCTGTCCCCCGCCCCCGCCGCGCTCCCCCGGACCCCTGGCCCCTCCGCCCGTCCGCCCCCTCCTCCTCCTCTTCCGCCAGCATGCTGGGATTACACTGTCTCTTTGCGTCTTCAGCAGATTGTGGAGTGAGGACAGATGCTGTATTCCCAGGGCGGTTGGTGTGCTGGGCGGCGTCCAGGCTGGGCCTGGCCCCTTTGTCCAGAACCTGCTGGCCTCCTGTGCAGGTCTTGGGTCTCCTTCCCAGCCGTGCCTCATGCTTGTCTCCCCTTCTCTCTGAAGTCCAACTTCTCCCTGGCCATCCTGAACGTGGGGGCCCCGGCGGCCGGCATGAACGCGGCTGTGCGCTCGGCGGTGCGGACCGGCATCTCCCAGGGCCACACGGTCTACGTCGTGCACGATGGCTTCGAAGGCCTGGCCAAGGGTCAGGTGGGTCCGGCCGGGGCAGACGAGGAGGATTTGGGCCTCCTGTGTGCAGACTGGGGGCATCTCCGGTGGAGGACGGCTGCCTGGAGGAGGAGGCTGAGGGCTGGGTCCGCGTGTCGGTGCCCACCCAAGCCTGGATACACAGCTCTCCCTGTGGTGTGATGCCCAGCGCTGGCTGGCCCCCGCCCCCGGGCACAGGCCCACCCCTGGGGGGAACCGGCGAGAGGCGTGGACGGGCCCCTGAAGCTGCCTCTCCTGACAGGTGCAGGAAGTGGGCTGGCACGACGTGGCTGGCTGGTTGGGGCGTGGTGGCTCCATGCTGGGGACCAAGAGGTAAGCTGCCTGCTGCGGGTGCCTAGGAGCAGGAGGGCCAAGGCGCGGTCTCTGGGCCCCGCAGTGGGGCAGCAGGGGAACCCAGCCCGGGTCCCTGGGCTTGGCCCGTCTTCTGGCTGGTGGCCTGCCCAGAGCAGGCTTCACGCCCTCCTGCCTGGAACATCTTTACCCGAGCTCAGCTGTGCAGGGCAGGCTGCTGTGGCGGCCCCATGCCCACGGCGGGCTCTCCGTGGCAGGGAAGCTGGCCAGCGTCTGTCCCTGCCCGGCTGGGCCAGGCGGCCTGCACTGTCACCACTCTGGCCATGGCTATGAGCCTGTCTGATGACCTTTGTCCCAGGGCCCGAGACCCTTCTGTGGAGTGGGCATGAGGAGGGCACAGTCACCCTGTGTGACTGCAGGGGAAGCCGCCCTGTTCCAAGCCTGGGTGGCTGCAAGGGCCAGAGGGAGCATCCCCTCCTGCCGCTGCGTTGGGAGAGAAAGCCTCAGGCAGGAAGGAGTGCCCGTGGGGAGCCTGAGGGGGTTGGGGTTCAGTCTGACTGGTGCCTGGTGACGCTGAATGGTGCCCGGGCAGCTCTCGCCGGGCCTGCCTGTCCCTCCGTGTGGAGCCACAGCACCACCTCCAGGGCGCCATGGGGACTGCCGCCTGGCTTGGGAACGGCCAAGGCTTGCGTTTTTGTGATCAGATGCAATGTGCACGCGTGTCCCCGGACGCCGTGTTCATGCTGATGAGCCTGTGACTGCAGGACCCTGCCCAAGGGCCACCTGGAGTCCATCGTGGAGAACATCCGCACCTACGGCATCCACGCCCTGCTGGCCGTCGGCGGGTTTGAGGTGAGAGCTGCCCGCACTGAATGGCCTGGGCGACCCTGGTGTCTCCTACTGCCGAGGGGCCCGTCCTGAAAACCCGTGTGCCGGCCGGGCTGGTGCAGAGGCTGCGAGGATCGGGGTTTCCGTGTGGTGGTGGGCCTGGGAGGGTTCTCGACCTTCTCCAGGAGGCTCCACAAGGTTCGAATTAACCCCAGTGCTGGAGACGGGAGGAAGGGGACTCGGAAGCGGGAGGAGGACGAGGAAGACGGGCGGCAGAGTCGGCAGGGCGTAGGTGTTGGATGTGGTGTCCCGGCACTGGGCAAGTTGTCACCAGATAATAAATACATGACAGCCCTTCCCCCTTGTCCTCCAAAGCCAACCCCACTTCAGGCTTCATGGAGTGGATCTGGGGCCAGAGTGGGTTGGACAGGCCTCCTGACCCCCATTAGAGACCAGTTTCCCTGGTGGGCATCCTGAGATGACACCAGGCTGACTGCCTGGCCCAGCCCCAGGGGATTGAGCAGGTGGGTCCCGGCACCCAGCACGGGGTGTGTGGCAGGTTAGCAGGGAGGGCTGGGCGGCCACCGGCTTGCTGACAGAGACTGTTGCTGTCCCACCCCGGCCTCGGGGCCGCCCTTGACCTGCCCCTGCCCCATGGCTGCAGGCCTACGAGGGGGTGCTGCAGCTGGTGGAGGCACGCGGGCGTTACGAGGAGCTCTGCATCGTCATGTGCGTCATCCCGGCCACCATCAGCAACAACGTCCCTGGCACCGACTTCAGCCTGGGCTCCGATACCGCCGTCAACGCTGCCATGGAGGTACAGGCTCCCGGACCTCTGCCTGTCAGGCCTGGGCCCTTGTGGGGTGGGGCTGAGCCCGAGGAGGCTGCTGGGGGGGACAGTGCGTGGTGAGCGCCCGGGAGGGCTGCCAGGGTGGGGGTGTGTGGGGCACGGCCCGGGTGAAGGGCTCAGCTCCCTGCCATAGCCACTTCTGGGGCCGGGGGCCCTGCGTCGTCCTCACTACTGCCATGAGCTCAGATGGGGAGGCCGAGGTGCGAGTGTCCCGGCCGCAGCACTGGGTAGCCTGAGAGCAGTGCCTGGCCTCTGCCCGTGGGTGCAGGGACACCCCTGCCTGCCACCAGCCAGTGTGTGTGCGGGCCACCGTCCACGGTGCCCTGGGGGGCCTGTTGAGAACCACTGGTCTGGCCCGGCCCAGCCCAGGCGGGAGGTGGGCCCAAGCCTGGTGCTGCCGACTCCCTGGGTGCATGAGCCCCGGCCGACTTTGGAGACACGGCTCCCTGCAGGGTAGCCGTGCCCACGGCTTGCAGGGAAGGGTGGGCACACGGGGGACCCCTGACCCCCCTTTTCCTGCAGAGCTGTGACCGCATCAAGCAGTCTGCCTCGGGGACCAAGCGCCGCGTGTTCATCGTGGAGACCATGGGGGGCTACTGCGGCTACCTGGCCACCGTGACCGGCATCGCCGTGGGGGCTGACGCCGCCTACGTCTTTGAGGACCCCTTCAACATCCACGACCTGAAGGTGAACCCAGCCCGCTCTCTGCTGCAGCGGGCTCACCGGTGTGCCAGGCTGGGCCAGCATAGGGCAGGGCCCGGGCAGGCGGGACTCACAGTCCAGTGCTCCTGCTGGCCCGGGCGGCTGGCCGGCCTGGAATTCCCTCCCCACAGTCCTCCGGCTCATCCACGTCTGCCCCTTCTGCAGGCCAACGTGGAGCACATGACGGAGAAGATGAAGACGGACATTCAGAGGGGCCTGGTGCTGCGGTGAGGCTCCGCCCAGCCCGTGGGAGGAGGAGGGGCCCGGTGCTGCGGTGAGGCTCCGCCCAGCCCGTGGGAGGAGGAGGGGCCCGGTGCTGCGGTGAGGCTCCGCCCAGCCCGTGGGAGGAGGGGCCCGGTGCTGCGGTGAGGCTCCGCCCAGCCCGTGGGAGGAGGGGCCCGGTGCTGCGGTGAGGCTCCGCCCAGCCCGTGGGAGGAGGGGCCCGGTGCTGCGGTGAGGCTCCGCCCAGCCCGTGGGAGGAGGGGCCCGGTGCTGCGGTGAGGCTCCGCCCAGCCCGTGGGAGGAGGGGGCCCGGTGCTGCGGTGAGGCTCCGCCCAGCCCGTGGGAGGAGGGGCCCGGTGCTGCGGTGAGGCTCCGCCCAGCCCGTGGGAGGAGGGGGCCCGGTGCTGCGGTGAGGCTCCGCCCAGCCCGTGGGAGGAGGGGGCCCGGTGCTGCGGTGAGGCTCCGCCCAGCCCGTGGGAGGAGGGGCCCGGTGCTGCGGTGAGGCTCCGCCCAGCCCGTGGGAGGAGGGGCCCGGTGCTGCGGTGAGGCTCCGCCCAGCCCGTGGGAGGAGGAGGGGGCCCGGTGCTGCGGTGAGGCTCCGCCCAGCCCGTGGGAGGAGGAGGGGCCCGGTGCTGCGGTGAGGCTCCGCCCAGCCCGTGGGAGGAGGAGGGCGGTGCTGCGGTGAGGCTCCGCCCAGCCCGTGGGAGGAGGAGGGCGGTGCTGCGGTGAGGCTCCGCCCAGCCTGTGGGAGGAGGGGCCCGGTGCTGCGGTGAGGCTCCGCCCAGCCCGTGGGAGGAGGGGCCCGGTGCTGCGGTGAGGCTCCGCCCAGCCTGTGGGAGGAGGGGCCCGGTGCTGCGGTGAGGCTCCGCCCAGCCTGTGGGAGGAGGGGCCCGGTGCTGCGGTGAGGCTCCGCCCAGCCCGTGGGAGGAGGGGCCCGGTGCTGCGGTGAGGCTCCGCCCAGCCCGTGGGAGGAGGGGCCCGGTGCTGCGGTGAGGCTCCGCCCAGCCCGTGGGAGGAGGAGGGGCCCGGTGCTGCGGTGAGGCTCCGCCCAGCCCGTGGGAGGAGGAGGAGGGCGGTGCTGCGGTGAGGCTCCGCCCAGCCTGTGGGAGGAGGGGCCCGGTGCTGCGGTGAGGCTCCGCCCAGCCCGTGGGAGGAGGGGGCCCGGGCCACAGCTGGGCTTCCGACCCTTGCGGCCGCTGAGGGGCAGCGGGCAGGAGAAGGCAGGAGGAGGCCTTGGAGAGGGTGGGTGAGGTGGGTTCCCTCGGAGCTGCCACGACCTGTCCCAGCCTGGCCTGGAGGCCTGGCCCAGCGGGGACTGAGATTAGGGGGAGACCGGAACTTGCTCCCCCGACTCGGGCCCTGCTGCCCCTTTCAGGAACGAGAAGTGCCACGACCATTACACCACGGAGTTCCTGTACAACCTCTACTCGTCAGAGGGCAAGGGCGTCTTCGACTGCAGGACCAATGTGCTGGGCCACCTGCAGCAGGTGGGGTGGGGCCATGGAGGGGCCCTGGTGCCAGTCGGGAGGCCCACCCCTCATCCCTGCCACCATCTGGCCCCAGGCCCAGGAGTCCCAGCCTCACGGGTACCCACTGGCACTCCTGGCAGGCCCTCCTTGGCTGGCTGTTCTGTTCTTACGCCCTGGCCGGCACGTGTGCCCTTCAGTGGTGAGGGGTCGGAGGCCCGTATCTGGGTGAGGTCTCACTCCAAGAAGGGGTGGGGCTGGCACACAAGCCAGCGCGTTCAGATGCTGAGCTGAGCGCCGCACCCCTGCCAGGCCTCCTGCAGCCACTCTGCCGAGCCCCTCACCTAGATCCCGGCATGCTCCCTGCCTTGTGGCCCTGCAGGAAGCTCTCGTCCTGGGGTTTTCTGAGCCAGGGAGGGGGAGTCAGGGTCGCTGGGCCTGGGGCCCAGGGCAGGGGCCCAGGGGTCACTGTACCTGGCCAGGAGGCAGCCGACTGTCAGCCTCAGGAGGCGGCTTCTAGCCTGGCTTAGAGCTACAGAGAACGGGCAGGGGCCTCTGTTCGGGGACAGATGGGAACTGTGCAGGGTTGAAGGGATGGGTGTTCAGAAGCTGCCTGGGAGGCTTCTTGTGGGGACCCTGTCTACACCAGGGCTGGGCCTCCCTCTCCTCAGCCCAGGCAGTCCTGGGCAGCACCAGGAGCTGGGCTTCACCTGTTTTCAGGGTGGCGCTCCGACCCCCTTTGACCGGAACTATGGCACCAAGCTGGGGGTGAAGGCCATGCTCTGGGCGTCGGAGAAGCTGCGTGAAGTTTACCGCAAGGGTAGGTGGTGGGGGCAGTCTGAGGCCTCATCTTGCTCTCCCCTGGGTCCCTGGGGCGGGGCCGGGCCTCTGGGGCCACCACATGCCTGTTTGCAGGCCGGGTGTTTGCCAATGCCCCAGACTCTGCCTGTGTGATCGGCCTGAAGAAGAAGGCGGTGGCCTTCAGCCCTGTCACGGAGCTGAAGAAAGACACTGATTTTGAGTGAGTTCCATGGAAGCCTCATGGAGGATGGTGGGGCTGAGGGGTGGCCCAGACCTTCCCCGGGGCAGGCGTGCCAGACCCAGCCCCGCTCGCACCCTGATCCCACAAGGCCTCCTTGTCCCCCACGCCTGGTCCCTGCCAGGCCTCGGAGAGCAGGGACCATGCCCAGGTCTTCTGAGTGTGACCCTGAGCGAGACCCTTGGGTAGGCATGGGGCACAGTGTGGGCAGTCAGGACTGGGCACGCCTGAAGGCGGCTGCGGCTGACTCTATGCTGTGGCTCCAAGGGATGGAGACCCTAGACCTGACCCAGAGGCTGCAGGGCTCCGTGGATGTGACGTTCAGAAGGCGGGGCATGCACAGGAAGGGGGCGTGGTGTGGTGTGGCAGGGGCGTGACCTGAAGAGCTGCCCTGACCCCTGACTCCCCATCACCTGCCTCCTGCACAGGCACCGCATGCCGCGGGAGCAGTGGTGGCTGAGCCTGCGGCTCATGCTGAAGATGCTGGCGCACTACCGCATCAGCATGGCTGCCTACGTGTCAGGGGAGCTGGAGCATGTGACCCGCCGCACTCTGAGCATGGAAAAGGGCTTCTGAGGCCACGGCCATGCCCCTCCCGGCCCCGACCACACCAGCTGGTCTGTGACGCCAGCTGTAGCACAGAGCTGCACACCAGCTGGGGCCTGGGCTTTTGTGTCTGGAGCCTGCAGGCAGGTGCGGCTGCGGCCTTGCTCGGCCCAGCCGTGCCTGTATTCCTGGCCACCCACCAGGCCTCCGGGGCTGGTGCCTTGAGACCAGCCTGCCAGGCCCTCCAGCAGGAGGACAGAGCGCCCTGAGATATGTTCCTGCCCAGGGGACGTGGGGCTGTTGGTGTTTGGAGGCTGCTGCCCCTGGCTTTGGCGCCCCATAGGCCCAAAGCCTCTCCCTACGCTGGGCTCACTCACATGGGCCAGCCGATGCCTGGGTTGTGTTGAGACGGCGAGGCCCCAGCCCTGCCTCGTTGTGACCTGTTCCTGCCCACGTGCAGCACCTGTCACCTTTTCTAGAAATAAAATCTCCCTGACAGTGGGATGCATCGGTCTCTGGAGAGCACAATCCTTGGAGGGAGGGGAGCGCCATCTCAGTGGGCAGCGGCCCCCCAGGGGCAGAGGGCCCTCTGGCCAGAGCCTGGGCCAGGCCCAAGGGATGTGTGCCCTGGGAGGCCACCAGGGTGACCTGAGCCTCTCCTGGTCCAGCCCTGGGGGCAGAAGGGTACAGCCTCACTCCCGTCTCCCCAGCCTCACCTGAGGGGGGGGTCTCCAACCTGCAGATGGCTTAAGCCAGCGTCCAGGAGACACTGATGGTGGACGTGCTGGAGTGGGAGAGAAGGCGGTGGGAAGCTGCTCCCGCCAGGAGCCAGGCTGAGTCCCACAGGCGGTTCTGGGGTTGCGGATGCCCTGCTCACAGTTTGCCTGTTAACCTGCAGGTCGAAGCCACACTCTGCATCACTCACTCGGCAGGTGATTGCCAGAGAGGGCTGCTTCCTGCCCTCAGTGCCACCGGGGTATGTGGTTTCAGGACACAGGAGGTGTCTGAGGGGAGACCCTGGCTTGGAGGGGCCTGTAGGCCACCTTGAGGGCCCCTGGGTAGTCTTCGGTTGGACTCAGCCAGTGGGGTGGCTCTAGGGACCAGGAGAGGGTGCTGGGACCCTCCTGCCCTGGGGCACCTTGGTATTCCTCAGGTAGCCCTTAGCTGTGCTGGCCCCAGTGCCGGAGGCCTCCAGATTGCTTCATTCTGGATCCGGGAGGAGGGGCCCACACCTAGGGGCCTTCCAGTTCATTCTGAGCGGGGGCAGTCCTGGGGCCAGGCCCAGGAGGAGAGAGTCGTCCAAGGACAGTGCTCCCGGGGTTTGTACCTGTCTCCAAGGAACAGAGAGGCAGGTGCACAGGCCCTGGGAACCATGTGCATGTTCTGGGGGCTCTGCTGTGTCGGGGTCAGGACTCAGTTCCGAATAGACCTGACGCTGTTAGAACCTGCTCAGCTGCTGCACCCAGGTGGCCTGTGGGTGATGCTGGGGACAGTGTGTGCCTCCCTCCTGGGTGATGTGCTGTGGTGGGAGCCCCTGCATCAGGCCCGTTTCTGGCTACACGGGGTTGGCATTTCAAGCGCAGTGATGCAGCCTCCGGGCCCTCGGTCTTCCCTTGTGAACTGGGCTAATGGGACACGTGTGATGCCAGTGCCTGCTCGGCTTGAGAACCCAACTTTCGGGGTGACGGGGAGGAGTGGTGGGACCGTGGGGTGCCTCAGGCTGCAGTGCTTCTGGCTGTCCTCCATGGCTGCAGTGGGTGAGGAGTCGCCAAGAAGGGGAGCGGTGAGCGGGCGGGAGGCTGAGGGTGGAGGCGGCAATGGTGTGGGGGTGAGGAACCGAGGGCTGAGGGCAGGCAGCTGCCCCCACAGGTCCCCTCCAATAGTCCCGATCAAGGTGTGCATGGTGTGGGGCAGGAGGGTGCTGGTGTAAGCCCTGTGAGGGGACACAATTTAACAACCTCAGCCGTTCCAACAAAGCGCTTTACCGAGGACACCCCCCACCACCACAGTCACAAGGAGGCAGACAGGCCTGAGCCGCCCACCCTCCACGTCCCCAGTGGTGACCCCTCACTCTGCACCTCTCAGAGATCACACCCCTCCTGGAGAACTTGCATGTGTGAGCGACTGTCTTCACCCTGGGTGTCCCCAAGTCTGGGGACAGTGGCTGTCCCGGTGCTGCAGCCAGCTCTGATAGCAGTGGACAATGAGACTGCATGGCTCAGGCTTGGGGGAGTGGTGGCCTGCACACATGGCCACCCATCACCACTCGGCGACAGACGGGGACATCTCACGGAGGTCTGGGTCCCAACCCCACTCAGGACAATGGCCCAGGTAGATGGCTTTCCTATGCACCGGCTGGAAGGCTGACTCCCCCTCTCACGTGAACGCTCCCTTGATTTTTGGGGGCACTGGGTAGTTTCCCCAGGGCTGTAGGTCACTGCCTGGATCCTGGCATCCTTGTTAAGACTTGCGCCTCTTCCCAGAGGAAAGAAAACCCCTCTCAGTTGCTTCACAGACTCCCCCAGCCCAGCTGCTTCCTGTGCCAGGCCCGGACCCCAGAGGGAACAGGCCTGTCCATCCACAGCCTCACTGGGACAGCAGAGGGCCCCACTGCAGCTCTTCACAGGACAAAGGAAGGCACGCCTATCCCGCCCGGTCAAGAAACCCTCCCTTTCCCCAAGGCGCTGCCTGCCTGCTGACAGCAGCTCAGGGCAGGAGTCCCTGTGGACGCCTTCTGGAAGTCTCTTGCTCAACAGGAATCTATGCAATGACCAAGGGTTGGAATCAGCCAAGCCACCTGTGAACACCTCCCTCATGTGGCTGAGAAACGGCCCCTGCTTTCAGGAAGACCGTCAGGGCCACGCCTTGGGAAAAATGTTGCTTCCAGATGAGACTTGGGAAAATCCTTTATTAGGGAGACAGCCTGCAAAGCTCTCCCTTTGAGTCTGGGCCAGCCCAGACCCTCCTGACCACAGAAGGGGAGTCCTGGGGACATCCTGGTATGGGCAGGCATCTGCCGCCTCGGCCGGCCAGCACCTAACACCCCTCCAGCGGGAGGCTTCCGTGTGGGGCGGGGCTGTGGCTGTGGCAGCTGCTCTCCAGCTCCCGGGGGCTGGGGTACATGGAGGGTGGCACGGTGCCCAGGTCCTGTGGGCGGTCACTCGGCGTGCTGCACCTCCTGCCCACGCAGGGCCTGCAGTCGGCTGCTCACCGTCTGCTGTATGGCCTCCAGCCCCTCGGCGTCCAGCTCCCGCAGCAGCAGCAGAATCGCGGTCAGTACGTTCTGGGGGCAGAGGGGTGCAGACTAAGCCCACCCGGCACCATGAGGCTGCTTCCCACCCTGAGGGCTGGGGCCTGGCCAGTGGCACCCAGCAGGAGCGGCCAGTCGGGGGCTGGAACACACGGAGAACCCGGGCAGAGGAGCCCTGCCTGTCAACGGGTGTGCGCTCTTCCCTCCTTTCTGCTCTGTCGCCCTCACCCCGGCAGGGCCCAGGCCCACATTCCACAGACCGGGAGACCCGAAGAGGCCGAGGGTCAGAAGGGTCGCGTGTGCGCGTGTGGGGCACGTGTTACGTGTGTGCGCATTCACAGACCCACACATGCAGCTTCCTCTGGGGTGCAGCTTTCTGGGGCTCCACCCTCTCCCATGATTTCTGTGCGGTGGGCCCCCGAATGGTCCCTGTCACTCACCCTGCTCCTGTGGCTGCTCGAAGTATCCCTGGGTAAGAAGGAAGGAAACTGGTCCTGGGAACAGGGCTTCAGGCCAAGCTCACCCTGGGTGCTGCTGGTGAGAGGGAGACAAAAGTGTGTAAGGGTTGTGGGGCTCGTGGCCCTGGGGCCTCTGCAAACCACATCTGCAGGTCACATCCATACAAATCCCACCCGGCACGCAGCGGGAAGAGGAGTCAACTCCCATAAGGTCAGTGGCTCCTGATGGCAGCTTCTGGAGGGCCTGGCACTTATGTCAGCTGTGGTACGCCCTCCCTGAATCCTGGGGCTCCCCTGCTACAATACCTTCCACCCGGGGCCTTGGGGGCAGGGCAGGGAGCACCTGAACACACAAATGCTGCAGGGTTAGCGGCTGACCACAGGGCCAGGCCCTGGGCAGGACGGCAGCTGCCCAACTGAGATCACATCTGACACCCCCACGGCAGGCACCAGCAGCGGGTGTGACCTGCCAGGCAGGAGGGAAGTACCCCGCTTCTCAAATCTATTTGTGACCCACTGCCAACTGCCCTGGGAAGCGCCCGCGCCGCACTGCAGCGTCAGCCCTGTGGCCCCTCCACGGCCCCTAGGCCCAAGGCTGTACGGACACTGATGGCCACGCCACCAACCATTCCAGTGAGTGTGGCCCTAGGCTGCACCCCACCAGGGACTCTGCTCCTCACAAGCTCCGAAGCCGAGAGCCTTCTCTGTGTCAGGGCACAGGGCCTGGCTTACCCCCCTCCTACTCCCTGGTACATCTGCTGTTGGGCAAAACATGAACCTGCCACTGAAATCACTACCTGAGCCCTGGGTGACGCTCAGTGAGTACAAAGAACAGACACCCACTACCTGGACCCCAGGTGACTCCCAGAGAATATGGAGGAGAATGGACACCGGCTACCTGGGGCACTGGGTCACTCCCACAGAGTACAGAAGAAAACGGACACCTGCTACCTGGGCCCCGAGTCACTCCCAGAGAATACGAATGAGAATGGACACCCGCTACCCAGGTCACTCGTAGAATATGGATGAGAACAGGCACCCACCCTGGACAGTCCCTCTCCCTCACTTCCAAGATGCAGCTCACTGGAAGCCCCACTCAGTCCCCGTGGGAGGGCCCGCTGCCCTCCAGCCTCACATCGCCTCCTCCTCGCTGTCCAGCGGGTCCTGGCCAGTCTGGGCAGCAGAACTGAGGGCGCTCGGCGCGCAGCCCGGCCTGGCGCAGCCGTTGCCCATGCCCTCTCCTTCCGGGGCAGCGGTGATCTCCTCTCCCTCCATCAATGCGCGGGACAGCTCCTCCTCTGTCACAGCTTTGGGTGAAGGACAGAGGCAGCATGAGTGGCCTCACCCCCGTGCAGGCCACATGCACCGCGGCTCCCGTTCTTACTGCGGCCTCAGCACAGTCTGCTGGTGAAATGCAGCATGTGTCCACCTCCAGGGCAACTCCCAGAGTGGGGGCCGGTCCCTCACCGTCCCATCCCCAGCCTGGCACGGGACCACACAGCAGATGGTGGAATCTGAATGCCAGCCTCTGCCAGAAGCACAACCTCAACTAAGACACAACAGAAAGAGGAACAGACTACTGAATTTATTCCATTTCATTCATCTTATCGATTTCCCTCAAGTTTATTTCTATTATGAATATTAATAAAACAGTCTGGGGGAAGTATTAGTGCTCATGTGACTGA